CACAAGTTTAGCATTCTTTTCAAAGCTAAGTACCTGAGTACGCACAATAACATTGCTGACGCATTATCGAGATTTCAGTGGGACCGCTTCCGACAAGTAGCTCCAACTGCTGACCACCACCAGACACCGCTGCCAGACGATATTTGGGGGATTTAGAAGCTGAAACCAGGAGACTGCTTTTACAAGCAATACTTGGTCAACTTACCAAACGGGTCTAACAGCATTTCAGCACTTCCGGTCTACCAATGATCTGAGGGATGAATGGCCAGTTCCCATAAGTCACATTGTTCATTTCATTGGTTTAATATCCGTGAGACAATGCTCTATCAATACCGTCAGAACCTTTATGTCTTCAATAGCAACATATCATAGATTAAATGGCCTTGTACACTGTTGCGACAATTTTCTTATCAACAAAGTAATCTCTGGCATGTCCAAGAGGCGTTCCCACCAAGATACTCGTAAACCGATCACATCTGATCTTCTTCACTTAATTATCTCTAATTTTCGTTTTGTATGAACTTCCGCCTTTGGATGTTGTCTTGCGCCGCTTTCTTCGGATTTTTCAGTGTAGGTGAGCTGGTACAGGTCAGGTTTGGACAGCCGGGAATCGCCATTCAAGATATCTCTCTGCGAGTTGCTGACGTAATATTCAAACTCCTTTCAAAGGCCGACAGATCCGGAAAGGACGTCTCTGTCTCCATTGCCGCGCTACCCTCCCACCCTCTCTTTTCCAGTCAAGGCCATGTCGGAATATCTGCAGATACGTCCTCACGGTCCTACACAGGCTTTTGTTCCTTTTAACCATACACCTGTTACCAGACATCAGTTTCAGGCAGACTTGAAAAAGCTCTCGCTCATATTGGCGTTGATACTTCAGGGTTCTCGTCACACTCTTTTCGGATAGGCGCCGCTACATCGGCAGCAGCAAATGGCGTGAGCCAGGAAGTAATCCAACAGCTGGGTAGATGGGGTTCAGATTGCTTTAAATCTTATATTCGTCTTCCGCATTAGTATTATTTCATAACATAACCATGTTTTCTATTCCTACCCCTTCTTAACTATTTTATGTTAATTATTGGTAGTAGGATCAAGCTACATTGCGAGGGCCGACCAGTTTGTTTCGATGCATCATATGATTGTTTGTGGCTGGGGAGAGGTGGCCGCAGATGGGAGGATCTTAACAAGGAGGTGGAGGCAGAGATGGCCTCATGTAAACATCCTAAGGCATACTTATCCACCTCGGGTCCAACGACCATGTACCTCGAAATTTATGCGTCCCTTCTCCGGATACAGCTGCTGTTGCCATCAACCAAAATCATCTGGTCAAACATACTGCCGAGGAGGCACTGGATGGGGGCACATTCTTACTCCGCCATCGACAAGGCCAGGTCGACCCTCAACCGAGTTAGGCAACTCGGAGGTATTTAGATTCGCCACCCGGCTATCCGGGCCATATATAGTGATATGTACATTTGGGATGGCGTCCATCTCTCTAATAAAGGCCAGCGACTCTATGTCAACAACCTCTTGGCAGCTGTAGAGTTACTTTCGTAAATAACTTACGCTTTTGGCCTTACAGGTCCTTGCATCCAGTTTGGTTTTAGGTGGTGGGCGTTTTTGGTTGGCTATGCACGTTCGTGCTTGGCATAGTACTTTTGGACTCAATTAATGTATGCTATAGTTTACATTTCATTTACATCACCAAATTTATAGCCTCCTGATCTTCAGCGGGAACCTTCCATCCCTCTGCTCATCAGCGGTTGGGATTCCAACTTTTTGGCCTATTCAATTTCTGCCCGCTTTTCAACGGGATATGTATTATTTTCTTACCGCCATTGCTGCTGGCGAAACTGATCGTCCATCGCTGTTGCTGCTGGCATTTAAGTTGTCCATTTAAATACCTTTGCTTAACTACCCACAAGTACTGCCTCACCTAGACCTTAAACCAAAATAAAATATATTCTTCTCTTATTTATTTGGCCTGTCTGGGCAACATGTCCTTTCAGGCCGTTTCGGTGGGGTGTGTTTCAATAATATACATTTATCCAATGAACACATAATTTCAGTTGCAACAACGATATGACTTAAAACACGTGTAAGGTCAAACTTACGTACATTGCTACGAGATGATTTCAAAATTGGAACGCAACGGTTAACTCACAAATCGGTATATAACTGAATTGTGAGTGAGTGGGTGAGATTGGTTTTAGGCCGCTTTTAGCAATATTCAAGCAATATCACGGCGGGGGACACCAGAAATGGGCTTCACACATTGTACCCATGTCGGGAATCGAAACCGGGTCTTCGGCGTGACGAGCGAACGCTTTAACCACCAAGCTACTCGACAGCCCCAACTAAATTGTGACACGGTAGGACAATATAATGGGTCAAATAATTGGCAGGAGCAAAAAGTAAAAGACCCTAAAATTAATGTTATTGCATTCATGATTGCTCAGGGGCGGTCGGGTAACCTAGTGGTTAAAGCGTTCGCTCGTCACGCCGAAGACCCGGGTTCGATTCCCGACATGGGTACAATGTGTGAAGTCCATTTCTGGTGTCCCCCCGCCGTGATATTGCTGGAATATTGCTAAAAGCGGCGTAAAACCATACTCACTCACTCACTCACGATTGCTCAGAATATTGTCCCTGTTGAATGGCTAGAAACAGGTCTAACGGGAAGTTGTCAGAAATTCGTTATATAAACAGGTACCCAAACTGCACACGGCAAGTAGAGAGTAAAAACAAATCAGGCCATAAAAGTCTCGAATCACTTTCTTGTTGCTCTTATCAAGGTACAGACAGTCTCCGGGGCACGGGTGGCCCCGACGTCTGAGGCGCCGCGATTCGCTGTGAAGAGTTGCGTCCCTGGGGCACGCCAGAAACCTATGATTGTGGGTTCGAATCCCGGTTCGCCCCGATTATGTTTCTAGGTTTGTCAGCACCATACCCGTGCTCGTGGGTTTCACCGAGTTGGTAAACGTCCGAGACCTGCATCACTTCGGGCTTTCCTCCCTCATTATGCTGACACGCCGTGATATAACTGGAAAACTGTTAACAGCAGCGTTAAACCCAACTTACTCACTCACTGACAGACAGACAGTCTTCTGGAAATTTTCCAGTCGCGAAATTGCTCGGACGATCAAGCCTGCCATGTTTCATCTGCAAAACAACAGGGAGATAACTCTAATAAGAGTACACGGCCCTTATGGAAAGCACAACTAGCGGTTGCTGTTAAATGCTACGGCATTTCAATAATTTGCTGACACTGACAACCACTACAAACAAGATACAAGTCTAAGCTCGTCAGTGATTCGTTCGATCTGAAGAGCATTCGCTTAAAATGGCAATACTGACTTTAACTAGAAATCAATTAAGTATAATCGTAATATAATGTGACACTATTCCAGTTTATCGCGATGAATCTTCCGTGGTGCCTGAAAGTAAGAGTCAGGGATCTCTATCTCTGAATTCTGAAGAGAGTATCAATAAACAATGCAAGTACTTCAACGGGTATGATTGCCGGTGCTTTGAACATATCTTTCTTCAGCATTTTCGTTTAAAAGACAACATTGCTCCCCTTAAGATTTGATAAAGTATTTATTTCACCTATTAAACTCGGCAATCAGTCAGACACAGAGCCAGACATATCATACACAGTACCAGAAACAGTCAGTACCAGACATCGTACTAGACACAGTACTAGACACACCAGACATATTCGGTACCAGACACACGCGACACAGACACACCAGATACAGTCAGTATCAGACACACCAGACATGGCCAGTACCAGGCACAGTACAAGACACACCAGATACAGTCAGTACCAGGCACACCAGGCACAGTCAGTATCAGACACACATGACTTTGTGCCAGACATGGTCAGTACCAGACACACCAGACACAGTCAGTACCAGACACACGCGATACAGATACAGTCAGTTCCAGACATAGTCAGAACCAGACACACCAGATACAGTCAGTACCAGACACACCAGACATAGTACCAGACACACCAGATACAGTCAGTACCAGACATAGTACCAGATACACCAGATACAGTCAGTACCAGACATAGTACCAGACACACCAGATACAGTCAGTACCAGACACACCAGATACAGTCAGTACCAGACACACCAGACATAGTACCAGACACCCCAGATACAGTCAGTACCAGACATAGTACCAGACACCCCAGATACAGTCAGTACCAGACATAGTACCAGACACCCCAGATACAGTCAGTACCAGATACACCAGACAAAGTACCAGACACACCAGATACAGTCAGTACCAGACATAGTACCAGACACCCCAGATACAGTCAGTACCAGATACAGTCAGTACCAGACACATCAGACATAGTACCAGACACCCCAGATACAGTCAGTACCAGACATAGTACCAGACACACCAGATACAGTCAGTACCAGACACACCAGACATAGTACCAGATACAGTCAGTACCAGACACACATAACATAGTACCAGACACACCGGACACATTCGGTACCAGACAAACCACATTGCATTGACAATGTTCTGTCTTTGCGCAAGTGGGCATAGCGAAAATGTGTAGTTCAGTCCAACTACTTGAACCTTGTCTGCATCAAATTACAACAGCAATTTCTCGACAGCAATGTCGCTAGTTACATCCAGTTGGAAGCTGTGGAAACATATAAATTCTTAAACACTTGAAAGTGTCATTTGGGTAAAGTATATATAACGCAAAACTGTAATTATTGAGGGATTCTTTGATTGAAGTAAATGTACCAATAGTCATGTGCGCATTTTGATTGGCTTTCGTGCAACACGCAAGTCTTCTTGCAGGATAAGGAAAATATGCCTTAGATCCAATCACCGTACTCCAGAGTGTTCGAAGAAACCGAACTACGTAACACCATATTTGATTTGGAATTGAATATTATCTGAAATCTCAAACCATGCACTATACCTATAAGAATAGCCAGCCGCGCTGTTCTCTGGACTCAGATCACACGACCATTCATTATCGTCAACTTTCAGACCATGTTGAATCCAGCATGTATTTCCCTGGTAGGAGTGTGTGTTGCCTGGGCGATTCCGCATGTCTTTGCTTTCACGGGTCCCACTATGCTGTTGCCTCCCACAAATATCCCCAAGACTTTAAGTGCAGCATCCTCGAACCCAGTCAGCGGTTCAGCACCAGCACCAACAACAGCTTCAGGGACACCTAGCGCAGGATCGAGTGATGTTTTTGTTGACATCTCCGAAGACGACGTGTTGAATAACAGATTCGGGTTAAGCAACATCAAGCTGCAGTACTCGAAGACCCACCAGACTACGAAAACCAGCTGTAAGTCGACATGCACTCGAGACGAAACGTGTGTCGTAGCACTGTATTGTGTGGAGGAGAAAGAGGATGCTCCTCTGTGTTTGAACCCTATGCTGTGCCAAATGACACTGAATATTAAAAAAGGGGACTCCTGTCACATTTACATGGAAGCGGAATCAGAAGAGTTTCTCCCCTCCGCATCTCCTGCAAGTTCTTGCAAGTATCTGACTATACGTAAGTACATTTGAATTAAGAGAGAGTGATTGAGTTATATTTTCTTGTCAATGTTATGGATCCATGAGAGCTGACGACGAGTGCCAAATCTAGGTTTTCGTTCTTGAATCTTTATTAAGAGATTTCGACTAGAAATGTACGGGTTGTGGAAGACATATGATTGGAATTTGTCAAAACTTAGTGGAAACGATCTCTAGGGAAGGATCATCCTCCCTCCAGCACTCGGATATGAAACCATCTATTATAATACAGAATTGTGAAAGGATCCCAGGGGGTATCCACCGTATAAAACCACCAGGGGTCAATAGGGAAATAATTGGTGAAGATAAAATATAAGTAACTGAAGCAACAACAATCATTTGTGAAGTTTGTTTCAAATGGTAAGGTCACTGTCGTTGCCATTTGCTTATAACATCAATTCAGAAATAACTTTAATTAGACCTAATACTTGTAACACCACCTAGGAATTTTCATGCATGTGACTGGTGGAGATTTGAGGGTAAAGAACGTACTCAACCCATGTTTGCTTGAGTATTCGCTACGAATATTGACCAATCTGTTAAATAGATGACTAGGGTGTGATCAAAGGTGGAATTTAATCAGCAAAGCATCCAGCCACAGAAAGGTCAGTGGAGACCGAGTGGCGCTGAGCTCTAGCAATACGCTGTATAATTATTGACAAACTCAAACGATGTTTAATGATTGACAATATATATGCTTTACGTACTTTTAAGTATTTCACGATACTAGCCACCTTGCAATATGACCCAACAACAGAGCCATTACTATGTATGTTCAGCTGAATACACAGTGTCTATGATGCAGGCCACCTTCCGATGTAACCCTAGAACACATTCATTACAGATCCCGACTGTCGGGATAAGCCTGAGGTTGCGAACAGTCTGTCCGGTAGAAATCCAACGCTGAAGACCGGGGGCGATGCTGAATACAAGTACAACTGTATGAATGGCTACGAAAACCTAAACACAGGAACAACGTTAGCTGTCTGCAGCAAGCAGGGAGCGTGGACTAAGCCCACTGTGGTGTGCGGGGCCCAAGCAAGTAGGTTATGATTGGTTGGTTGGTTGGGTTGTTGTTTAACGCCGCACTCAGCAATATTCCAGCTATCTGACGGAGGTCTGTAAATAATTGAGTCTGGACCAGACAATCCAGTGATTATTATCATGAGCATCGATCCACCCAATGGGGATCGATGACATGAATCAACCAAGTCAGCGAGCCTGACCACCCGATCCCGTTAGTCGCCTTTTACGCGCAAGCATGGGTGGCTGAAGACCTATTCTACCCCGGATGTTCACGGGTCTGTAGGTTATGAAGCTACTGGTAAACATACCTCAGACAATAATATTAATAAGTACTGGAGACAGCAGTGGGGAATTCACAACAAACGATGTCTTCCAGCAGATGGGAATGAATATAAAGGAACCGACCATTTGGGGAGAGGGGTATTGGGACTGGAAATTATATTGTCCCAGAAACTTCTTGAACAAAATCGTTATGCTTGACATTGTTCAGAAACGATCAATATCGTTACCGCCAGCGATATTATATACCTGAAACGTGCTTTGCAGGACGTGTGTCCCAATAATCAGCTCCAAACTTCCAATAACGTAGGGGCGGTCGGGTAGCCTAGTGGTTGAAGCGTTCGTCACGCCGAAGACCCGGGTTCGATTCCCGATATGGGTACATTGTGTGAAGCCAATTTCTGATGTCCCCCGCAGTAATATTGCTGGAATATTGCTAAAAGCGGCGTAAAACTATACTCACTCACTCCAATAACGTTATTATCCAGTTTTTTCAATTTCTTTACCTGAATACAACGATATATTGATAGATGGCTATTCACGTAGATTGTCTACAAGGCCATTGATGACATCCTGAGACTTTCAATTGTCTGCGATACAGGAGGTATGCTGACAGCCAAGTCGTAGTGACATATGACGTAGGGTGAGTGAGTGAGTGAGTGAGTGAGTGAGTGAGTGAGTGAGTTGGGTTTAACGCCGCTTTTAGCATTATTCCAATTGTATCACAGCGTGGCAGCTTAATGTGGGAGGAAAGCCCGAAGTGATGCAGGTCTCGGACGTTTACCACTTCGGTGAAACCCACGAGCACGGGTATGGTGCTGACAAACCTAGAAACATAATCGGGGCAAACCGGGATTCGAACCCCCAATCATAGGTTTCTGGCGTGCCCAAGGGACGCAACTCTGCACAGCGAAACGCGGCGCCTCAGACGACTGGGCCACCCGTGCCCCCCATATGACGTAGGGGGCTCCACATTGCTAATGTTCTCTTTGTTCTCAGCCATTACTACAATGGTGGTGTTTAACGGCTTTGTCTAAATTTTGACACCTCGGAGTATCATTTTCTTGTGTATTTATAAAGGTAATACATACAGTTATAAATTAAATTCATGAAGTGTTGACTGTGGTAAGGTGAGATTTGCTTAATAGCAACCTGAGAGTGGGGTCTGAGTGATGGGTGACCCATCTTAAAGGGAAAGGCATGTGTATAGCTGTCTTTTAGTACTTGAGGAATAAGCCATGTTTAAAGTTGTACTGTGTAAATTGGAACCTGTGCTTCCATAACCGGAAACAACGTCATTTGACTGAAGGTGATACACCCGTGAAGATCCGGGTTAGAATTGACTTTCAGCAACTCATGTTTGTCATGAAAGGCGACTAACGAGATCGGATTGTCAGGCTCGCTGACTTGGTTCATGCAGGTCATCGTATCCGAATCCATCCTGATAATGTCAATCACTGGATTGTCTGGTCCAGACTCGATTGTTTACAGACCGCCGTCATATAGATGGAAGATTGCTGAGTGCGGCGTTAAACAACAAAGAAACAAACAAACGAAAGTGATACAGTAAGACTGGATATAGGTTTGGCCTTCTCCATTACAGTAGCTAGTGACAAGGTACTTAATCTGACATGACTTTAGTCAACCCGAATAATACCACACAAATTGTACTGGTATGAATCTGGACACACTTTTTTAGCTATACAGAGAGAATATGCTCCACGTCCAGACAAACGAAGGCTGTCACTTGAATCTTGTGTTACTTGAATCAGTCTTAGCAGTTAAAGTACAGCCTCTCCTTAATCCGGAGGATTTCTAATCGAACCTAATAACCAGGGCAGGAATATTGATTTTATCACCAATACAATCATGGCATATATTTTAAGCAAGCGTTTGATAATATATCCCATCAATAAGATAACACAGCTATAAGTTCACTTTGGTTCGTATTTCATCAGATCATTTTGGCGATTTGGTCCTTTTTCAGCATCTTTGAAAGAGTTTACTGGGTTTGCCTTGCCATCCATCCCTGAAGCGAAGCCGGCTGCATTGTTTACCCCTGCACCAAATTTTGGCACGCTTGTGAATGTTACTCCAAATCCTGTTGTCGTAGCTCCTGTCCTTCCGTCTTTAATCCTGCCGGTAGGTCAATCATCTGTGTTTGGCAGTAAGCCTAAACCAGCCACAACTACCACTACAACTACCACTACAACTACACCTACCCCTCGAACTTCTTCGATCACAACAACAACTACGACCACGAACCCACCTACGTTCAAGACTACCTCCCCAACTACCACCACGAGCCCCACCACGTCGAAAACAACCTCTTCAACTACCACCACGAGCCCCACCACGTCGAAAACAACCTCCTCAACTACCACCACGAGCCCCACCACGTCGAAGACGACCTCTTCAACTACCACCACGAGCCCCACCACGTCGAAGACAACCTCCTCAACTACCACCACGAGCCCCACCACGTCGAAAACAACCTCTTCAACTACCACCACGAGCCCCACCACGTCGAAAACAACCTCCTCAACGACGACCACGAGCCCCACCACGTCGAAGACAACCTCCTCAACGACGACCACGAGCCCCACCACGTCGAAAACAACCTCCTCAACGACGACCACGAGCCCCACCACATCCAGGACAACCTCCTCAACTACCACCACGAGCCCCACCACGTCGAAGACAACCTCCTCAACTACCACCACGAGCCCCACCACGTCGGAAACAACCTCCTCAACGACGACCACGAGCCCCACCACGTCGAAGACAACCTCCTCAACGACGACCACGAGCCCCACCACGTCGAAAACGACCTCCTCAACTACCACCACTAGTCCCACCACGTCGAAAACAACCTCCTCAACGACGACCACAAGCCCCACCACGTCGAAAACAACCTCCTCAACGACGACCACGAGCCCCACCACGTCGAAAACAACCTCCTCAACGACGACCACGAGTCCCACCACGTCGAAGACAACCTCCTCAACTACCACCACGAGCCCCACCACGTCGAAGACAACCTCCTCAACTACCACCACGAGCCCAACCACGTCGAAAACAACCTCTTCAACTACCACCACGAGCCCCACCACTTCGAAAACAACCTCCTCAACTACCACCACGAGCCCCACCACGTCGAAGACAACCTCCTCAACGACGACCACGAGCCCCACCACGTCGAAGACAACCTCCTCAACGACGACCACGAGCCCCACCACGTCGAAAACAACCTCCTCAACGACGACCACAAGCCCCACCACGTCGAAAACGACCTCCTCAACTACCACCACTAGTCCCACCACGTCGAAAACAACCTCCTCAACGACGACCACAAGCCCCACCACGTCGAAAACAACCTCCTCAACGACGACCACAAGCCCCACCACGTCGAAGACAACCTCCTCAACTACCACCACGAGCCCCACCACGTCGAAAACGACCTCCTCAACTACCACCACTAGTCCCACCACGTCGAAAACAACCTCCTCAACGACGACCACAAGCCCCACCACGTCGAAAACAACCTCCTCAACGACGACCACGAGCCCCACCACGTCGAAGACAACCTCCTCAACTACCACCACGAGCCCCACCACGTCGAAGACAACCTCCTCAACTACCACCACGAGCCCCACCACGTCGAAGACAACCTCTTCAACTACCACCACGAGCCCCACCACTTCGAAAACAACCTCCTCAACGACGACCACGAGCCCCACCACGTCGAAGACAACCTCTTCAACTACCACCACGAGCCCCACCACGTCGAAGACAACCTCCTCAACGACGACCACGAGCCCCACCACTTCGAAGACAACCTCCTCAACGACGACCACGAGTCCCACCACATCCAGGACAACCTCCTCAACTACCACCACAACAACAACCCGTAGACCTGCCACAACGACAACATCGTTTTGGGATGTGTTTGTTGAAGTTATGACTAGTTGGTAAAGGCCGATTGGCATCAGATCACGTGGTGCTGACACCAGCTATTGACCTAGAGTGTGTTTTTCAGAATTACGTTAGAAATGTTTGTAAATGTTGGATTTTTTTAAAAGGTCAATAAATTTTGAAATATTGGTCATCTACCTTTTTATTGAGGTGGGTGGAAATGAACATTATTTGCTACATACTCACGGAAGTAATATTATATACGTTTAACGTAACAGATTTACACGCAATGTATATACAATTATTATAAAACTTTTTCACAGGTGTTTATTTGATGCGCTGACCACAAATAGATCCATGTTGCCTTTAAACCTTTGTTGCGACAATTGCAATGATCTAGGGCAGTGGGGTAGCCTAGTGGTTAAAGCTTTCAACGAAGACCCGAGTTTAGTTCCCCACATGAGTACAATGTGTGAAGCCCATTTCTGGTGTCCCCCGCCGTGGTAATGCTGGATTATTGCTAAAAGTGGCGTAAAACCATATGATCCATTGGTCACAACGGCTTTTGCTCCAGCATTGAAACTTGAGTGCTTTGACATAAATGAAAAAGAACTCTATACAATACATGTTATCATAATACGTAGTTCAACCGGCACTTATTGATACCGACGTACTGTTAAGTCAAACTTTCTGTGACTATATGTCATTTGATATCCCTTATCTCTGGTGGTGTTAGCGTGGTGAGGGACGAGAACCCAATATATATTTAGGTCTCGGACGTTTACCACTTTGGCGAAACCCACGAGCACGGGTATGGTACTGAAAAACGTATAAATATTACGTGCGAACCGGGATTCGAACAAATGATCATAGGTTTCTGGCAAGCCCAATGGACGATATTCTGCACAGCACCTTAAACGACTGGGCCACGCGTAATATACATGAACTACAGTCGAACCCCACAGTCTCGAACTCGGATGTGTCGATTCCCTAGTTGTGTCGAATATCCAGTTATGCCGAAAGCACATGTAGTCCGTACCCCGCAAACTCCCTCTCTGTTTATCACTAACCCGGATGTATAGTCTCGAATTCAAGTTTTACTTACCAAGATGTGTAAAACGCATGTGACGAATCCCAGATACAGGAGTTCGAAGCGACAGGGTTCGACTGTAATTTCAAAATATTTGCCATAGAAATGTTCAACCAGTGGTTTTCCCGACTGAGGGGTACAACATTTTGAAAGGGTGCATTTTGTAAAACAAATATTCAACACAACTGCGAGATGACAAGATCCCAGAAGCATTTGATGATTTGGTATGTGATATATGTTAGTCTGAACATTCCATCAATGAGTTACTCATAGGAGTGTCATACGTTTACATTTAATACAACCGATAACTCTTCATACTTACAAATGTCGATTACTTACAGACCGCCGTCATATGCTGGAGCTGGAATATTGCTGAGTGCGGCGTTAAGCAGCAAAGAAACAAACACACTAAACAAATGTACGAAATAACTGATATTGATTTAAATTATTCCACACAACTCATGTCCAACTGCAGCAATAATGACCCTATCTAATTTAACATGTATTCTACACAACTCATGTCCAACTGCAGCAATAATGACCCTTTTCAATTTCACATGTATTCCACACAACTCATGTCCAACTGCAGCAATAATGACCCTATTTAATTTAACATGTATTCCACAAAACTCATGTCCAACTGCGGCAATAATGACCCAATTCAATTTCACATATATTCTACACAACTCATGTCCAACTGCAGCAATAATGACCCTATTTAATTTAACATGTATTCCACACAACTCATGTCCAACTGCAGCAATAATGACCCTATTTAATTTCACATGTATTCCACACCACTAATGTCCAACTGCAGCAATAATGACCCCATTTAATTTAACATGTATTCCACACAACTCATGTCTAACTGCAGCAATAATGACCCTTTTCAATTTAACATGTATTCCACACAACTCATGTCTAACTGCAGCAATAATGACCCTTTTCAATTTAACATGTATTCCACAAAACTCATGTCCAACTGCAGCAATAATGACCCTATTTAATTTCACATGTATTCCACACCACTAATGTCCAACTGCAGCAATATTGATCCCATTTAATTTAACATGTATTCCACACAACTCATGTCTAACTGCAGCAATAATGACCCTTTTCAATTTAACATGTATTCCACACAACTCATGTCCAACTGCAGCAATAATGACCCTATTCGATTTCACATATATTCCACACAACTCATGTCCAACTGCAGCAATAACGACCCTATTTAATTTCACATGTATTCCACACAACTCATGTCCAACTGCAGCAATAATGACCCAATTCAATTTCACATGTATTCCACACCACTAATGTCCAACTGCAGCAATAATGACCCCATTTAATTTCACATGTATTCCACACCACTAATGTCCAACTGCAGCAATAACGACCCTATTTAATTTCACATGTATTCCACACAACTCATGTCCAACTGCAGCAATAATGACCCTATTTAATTTCACATGTATTCCACACCACTAATGTCCAACTGCAGCAATAATGACCCCATTTAATTTCACATGTATTCCACACAACTCATGTCCAACTGCAGCAATAATGACCCCATTCAATTTCACATATATTCCACACAACTCATGTCCAACTGCAGCAATAATGACCCCATTCAATTTCACATGTATTCCACACAACTCATGTCCAACTGCAGCAATAATGACCCCATTCAATTTCACATATATTCCACACAACTCATGTCCAACTGCAGGTAAAATGATCCTATTTAATTTAACATGTATTCCACACAACTAATGTCCAACTGCAGCAATAATGACCCCATTCGATTTCACATATATTCCACACAACTCATGTCCAATTGCAGCAATAATGACCCCATTCAATTTCACATATATTCCACACAACTCAATAATGAGCTAATTCAACAATAATGAGCTAATTCAATTTCATAATTATTGCAGAAAACTGATGTTCAACTGCGGCAGTAATGACCCTTTTTAACGTCCAGTTAGTTCCAAGCATCAAGTTTGGCGCTGACAGTTTGCTGTGGTAGATGCATACTTGGAAATAACCACTTGATTTGAGCTCAAATGAATTGTAGCTTATGAGCATAGTGGGTTAGAATACTTTCAGGCTTTCCAAAACTGTGACTGGAAATATAATTTTAACTATTCTACTTTCCTCAAAAGCGTGCTGAAGCGTATTGATATCCAGCAAGTGGATATTGAGAATTGCGCATGCCTGCTTTGCTTTGGGCTTTGATTCACATCTTACACCATCAATGCAAGGCAGGTGTTTTGTGATTTCAAACTATTGCAAATATAACGTACTGCTCTGCTGAAGATGGCGTTTACATGCCGATATCCTTAATATGAATATCATCAGCCGTTAGTCTTTGGATGAAGATCATTTACCTCTGTGCCTTGGGTGAAGATCGTGTTCCATGATGCTTTCGGGTAAAGATCATGTACCTCTGTGCTTTGTGTGAAGATCGTGTTCCATGATGCTTTCGGGTAAAGATCATGTACCTCTGTGCTTTGGGTGAAGATCGTGTTCCATTATGCTTTCGTGTAAAGATCATGTACCTCCGTGCTTTGGGTGAAAATCGTGTTCCATGATGCTTTCGGGTAAAGATCATGTACCTCTGTGCTTTGGGTGAAGATCGTGTTCCATTATGCTTTCGTGTAAAGATCATTTACCTCTGTGCTTTGGGTGAAGATCGTGTTCCATGATGCTTTCGGGTAAAGATCATGTACCTCTGTGCTTTGGGTGAAGATCGTGTTCCATTATGCTTTCGGGTAAAGATCATGTACCTCTGTGCTTTGGGTGAGATCGTGTTCCATTATGCTTTCGTGTAAAGATCATGTACCTCCGTGCTTTGGGTGAAAATCGTGTTCCATGATGCTTTCGGGTAAAGAACATGTACCTCTGTACTTTGGGTGAAGATCGTGTTCCATTAGTTTTTGGATGAAGATCATTTATCTCTGTGCTTTGGGTGAAGATCGTGTTCCATTATACTTTCGGGTAAAGATCATGTACCTCTGTGCGTTCTGTAATTATCCCATTCTGCTGTGCTAATGTGTATATCTCATACCAGTAAGGATTTCCAGCATGCTTTACATGAACCTCACCTCCTGTACGTTCAACCAATGGGTACTAGGAATAATTCAAGAACCTTCTCACATCAACTCTCTGCCACCGGGACTGTGGAAACAAATGGGTTTGGATACGATTAATGTTCGGGTTGTTAATATTTTATGTCCGTTTCACATGGTGTGTGTATAAGTTGGTTATACCCATACTTACCCTGTTGTTACGGGTGAGTTCTATCGTGTATAGTCTAACAGCCTGCTTGATGTAGGAAGAAAGTCCAAAGTGATCTGTTTTGACGTTTACCACTTTGGTGAAACCCACGAGCTCGGGCATAGTGCTTACAAACCTAGAAAAAAAAGTTGGTCGACGCTCAGTTTCGAACCCACGATTATAGGTTTATGACACGCCACGCAACTAGTAACAGATGCCAAGAATGAATATCCCAAGTCACAATGTAATGAAACAACACTCATAAATAGAATGAGAACCACGATTTAACATAAGAAAGGATTTTTTCTTTCAAATTGAAAAATATGCGTCAATGACATAACGTAAGATGATGATCACCTTGACGCCCTGGCATCAGCAGAGTTTCCTGTAACATATTTGTTTCCCTTTATTAGGTCAATGGGGGCTAAAAAACGTGCAGTCCCTGTAGATTCTTTCAGGAGCGTTGATAATAGGGTTTATCGTGTTATGAAAGTATTATGATAAACCAATCCGCTGAGCTTGGTATCACGATCCGATAAGTATGCAAGTGAGGTAGCCAAAGTATGCAAGTGGGGTACCATGTCATTCAATACTGTGGCACGACCATTCAAGTCACCAACAAACAACATGTTTATGAGGGATTTTGATTTATTGACTAAGAATAAATTATGTAATAGTGCATTGTATGGTTCAACACATACATAGTAGCATTGCAGATCATCAATTTGGACATTTTGTACAAAACATTTGGGAGAATGACAATCCATATGAAACAAGTCCTCACAAGGACCTGAGTAGGCTCAACACAACGTTTGCATGATATTACATAAAAAGAAACATGTCACTGAAAATCACTGGAAACAAACACAAGACTTCTTGCATTCCAATGAACTCAACTCACCATGGCAATCCAGGAACATTGGTGTAAGAATAACCAAGTCGACTTTCCCTTGATTAACACTGAATTATCACTTTCATAATTCTATTTTTCTGATGTAAAAAGGGGGTCTTCCCTAACAGATAAGCTATTTGAAATTGGGCACCATTCATAACAATACTCATTATCAAACAGAGGGAGGTCTAGTTTGATCATGCCTTGATGGACACCTCAGGATTCCAAATAATACATTCAAACTGGACTCGGACCCCTGCCATGATCAAGTCATGATATAGTCTGGCTCTGTATCAAGCTGGTTTGGAAGTTCCATCTCCCATGACCTAACAAACTTCTTTTGACATTTCCATATACATCATCCATTTTCGCAGCTAAGCTCATTTGTCTGGCTTTGGGACCTTGTTTCCGAGAAAAGGCTTCCAAAAGTATTGTATACAGCCATTAAGTGTGCATCTGTTGCTTTGTTTCCTTTCATAGTTACATGGTATATCACAATACCCTTGCAGCATGTGAAAGATTGGTTCCTATCTATTCAAGTCACAGCAAAAACCTCATTCAAACAATAAAAATATTTGATTTTCCCCCGTCACTTAATACATTTTGTTTTATTCCACTGATCCTTGACTTTTTGAACACATTAACAATGAACTCCCTGACAAAGAGCAAACAAATATTATAAGCTACCAAGAACCAATCCTTCTCACACAAAAAACCCTACATTCAGATGTCTACATCAAGGTGAGAATTGTCATTGAATGGCACCCCCACTTTTCAAGCACCATCCCATATTGCACCAGTCTGACTTCATGAACTACCAAATACTGTGACATGGATTGAGAATCTGAGCAGCAAGTCATTCCAGATGAAGTCATAGTTCTGTCTCTCTACTACCCCATCATTCTTCTCAGTTAATGACATTCATACATAAAGGAAGCTGAACATACTCAATAAGGGGCATGGAAAATATTTCATCAGTTTGGGGTCCATGCAAACTTTAAGAGGTCACAGAAACAACTTGGCTGACTTTCATGTGGATTAGCAGACCTGCTACTATTTCATTACTGTAGGGGTTAGGTTTACTGGGCATATCAGATCTAATGTTTAATGAGGACATCAAAATGTTCAAAGCAATGACATTCTTAAGTCTTTGGTTCAGTGGTTGTAAAACATTTGTGACGAACATTTTATGGAAAAAGATGACATGACTGGCATCTTTTTTCACAAACTTTTAAGAACATCCTACTGATTTAACATGATACAAGGTACTCACACCAAATACAAGAGCACAAATCTGAAATACAGTTGTTAAGACTGAGAATGTTCACTTGATAATATCTAGGAACGTTGTTCCCAGCTGCTTCCCTCCCAGTAGTTTCTCTATGACTAGATTGGTGTTCATCAATTAATCTAGCTCCAGAAACAAATCTGTGTCAGAGCTTTTCATCAATTTTCATTCAGTTCTTCTGTCATATCACAGGTAATCAAAAGTGGGAAGAAAGCCACAAGTGATGCTGGTCATAGTTGTCTACGACTTTGGCCAAACCCACAAGCACTGACAATCAGGTGAATCAAAGAGTCAAACCAACGACAAGTGAATCCTGGCATGGCTAAGGGATGTAACTATGAACAGGGAGCAGCATCTGAGACTACTAGATTCACAGTGACCCGTTGAAGGATTATGGTTGTAATCAAAGAATACTTTGTTGGATGTGAGATGATTGGTTGGGCGTATGTTGGAGGCCACTGCAGCTGGGAACACATACCATACAGTCTGTCTCTATTGATGCTCTCTGTGTACACAAAGTACATATCTAATGAAGCTCTTGGTGTTCAGTGTTGAGACATGAGGTCACAGACAAATTCTAAGTATGGCTCATTTGGCAGAATCAATACTGTTATAAATTCATTTTAAAACATCCAAGATCCTCACTAAAACATATTCTAACAAGGGTGGCATTCACAGACAAAAATCTGCTAAACAGGGTCATTTTAATTTTATACAAATAAAACATGGGCTAAAACAATGACATTCTAGATAGTACTAAAAGTGCATAATGAACAGTACATTTCAATCCAGTTTGTAGAACAATGCTTTGCCTAGAACTTGTGCATAAGTGTGTAATTATTGTTGCTTTGTAAGCGATAGTGGGTATATAAAACACCGAGAAAATATCTCTTTACATATCATGTGTGTTATGATACAGACATTTTCTCAAAATACTGCCATGGAAGTATTTCAACATCACAATTTCATACTGAACACTGAAATATAACCATATCTATACAAGAAATACATCCAGTTAAAATAGTTGTACTTTGTTCATTTCAAGTACTTGTTCACAATTCACAGAAGTGTTTGAAATCACATATTGCCGAGTCTTACCACTCAACAGGCTTAACATAGGGAGGGGGAGGGAAGGAAAGATCTTCTACCTTACATCATGTAACGCAGGCACTATTATGAAAGTGGCAAGAAACACCTTTGACCTACAACTTGCAATCAGTTGGTCCAACCATGAAGGAACCATTGATTGTAACAAAGGCAACAATGGGTGTACAGCTACTGGTGAAGTGTTTGAACTTTACTATTTGTTTCCTGCATAATCTATAGTGTCTAATGAGTGATGATTAAATCAAATGTGGTTGTCAAAAACGATATAATGTAATAAAAATTTTAATTAGATAGTGAGCTGCTTTTAGCAAAATTCCAGCCACACCATGGCACCTCACATTGACCTTTGGAACAAAAGGCAAAAGCTCACCACACTTTCCCAAACCAACAATATACTCCAGGTATTTTCAACAATCATGTCACAAATATATTCAAAAACAAATTACCCAGGACTGACTTTCTAGAAATCAGTTGGACTAGCACAAAATAATCTGAGCATAAAGACCATCGACAATCTAACACTGACCTAAGTTTGCTTTTTGTGGAAATTGGCAAGTCCTATTCTAGCACAATTTGCTACAGGATTTTGAAGTGTAGGCCAAACTCAGTAGCTGCACACCATACATATGCTCTACCCAGATCTAAACAAGTCTCACTACAAACACGTCCTTTCACTAAAAAATAATCTCTTAAAGTCTTTCTACATCAGGAAGACAAAAAGATAACGTTTTTGTAACAGTCCTACAAATACTAGCATAAACAATTGCACATAGCTTACCAGTACCAAAAATCGGGAAAAGTGTTCAATTGAACATGTGTCATTGTAGTCTTCAAATTTCAATAGCATACAATAAATGTAACGAAGCATTAACCATAAGCCTAACAAATATTTTACACAAGCTCATGCGTAAGCCACCAGGTGATGTGAATAGGCACATGAAAGTGGTAACTTAATCCACACACTGATTCTTCTCCACACTGTGTCCACAAAGGTGGGTGTGGCAGGACACTAACATATACCATGATGGTTGTATGACCTTTGTTTTATTGTTAAACTGTGAATGAACAAAATACTTTACACTGAGTACAATCATGATTATTTTACTCATATATTTTAATATTTTATCTTAAAAATTTCGTGGATTATTCTAAAGGTAAACTGCTTTTAGAAAACAAATACAAAAACAACCACCACTTATGTTTTACAGTTGAACTGACTTAATAGGTTAGTTACACTGATAACAAACCATGATTATCATAATACTCATTTGCTTTAACTTAGTAGTTTGTTTCAGTTAACTGGTGGCTATTTCTTAAAATGTTACTGCTTTGAAAATAATCATCAGGACAAATAAACACCATATTTTTCAAAACATGCAATCTCTTGAACATGTTGAACTCAAGATTGGAATGTTTGACAATATATTTTGCACATGTTTAATGAGATTTCATTTGTAAACAGGCTTAATCCAATGCTCTGCCTCTATCAAAAGATGACCTGACAATATGCAAAAATAGCTGTACGCTGTACACAAGACCGAAGATCACACACAGCCTAACAAGTTGTGACATACAAACTGGCCTTGGTTCTATCAAAAATGTCTGTAACCACTGCAAGACTAGGACTGAACTCTGGGTAAATCATAGCACTTTTTTTCAACCAATCAACAGTGACATAACAAACAAAACATTGATCGTAAAACCAAGATCAAATCTGACTGGGTGGTGTGATGGAGACTGCATATGTTTTGAACAATACCAAGCCCAGTGACCTATGTCATTTGTGGACTAAGTTGAGTACATGGCACAACTGAAATACTGAACCAATAAATGCAAAGAAATAAAATATGGTTCTGATACAATCTTCATATTCTTTGGTTTTGATAAAATCTTCATCTTTGAGCTGAATGGTAAGCAGAAGAACTAAACAAGAAATAGCCGATTGTATACATACACATCACAGACCGCTATTTTATAACCATGGATTTACAAATGTAGCAGAAATATACACAGCCGACATTGTCTTTTTCACTCATAAGAAGCTTGACCTTGAAGAATCAGTATCTCAACTTGGCAGTCACGGTGGTATGTGATAATACTCTTATATATACAAAGAAATTACTTCATAGCACTTGAAACCATGTCAACCACAAAAGTGTATTCAGCATTTTTTGGTAGGTCTTTTTGTCTACTTAAACCATCTTAATAGCATACAATGACCAGACATTTCCTCAAAAGATTTTAAAAAAAGGTCTTGTTTTGATCGCCAGGCAGTCTCTGCAATTTGGATTGAAGACATTCAAAACACATAAATGTCTGCTTCACATTTATATATGCTTTAGATCAGTAAATGATTAGGCAAATTACACAAATGTCCCAGTTTCAAACAGAGCACTAACCATGACCGTGACCTGGCCCCGTTCCACAAAGCGATCTTAGCACTAAGGTGATCGCAAGTCCTATACTTTAACATAGGTTTACCATCATCGTAGCGCTCAGATCGCTTTGAGGAACAGGGCCCTGATTAGATCAGAAAGAAGCCACTCTTTGAAGGTCTCAGTCAAATCATGGTGTCTGCTCAAGCATAGACCTTAAAAAACAAACCCTTAAGTTGTGGTTCCAATTACCCAAATGATCCAATTTAAGTGTCAACCATTACATCCCCAAGTGATGTTTGTAACCAAGTAAACTTTGAAAACATACATGCATTACTGTCTTTTGAAATTGTCATGGGAACCACAACAGTATTTTATAGAAGGCCATGTGTGGAGGAAATCCACAAGTGGCACAGGTCATAGACCTTTACCACTTCAGTGAAAATCCATGAGCACAGGTATGGTGCTGACAAACCAAGGGTGATAATGTGGACAAAATCATGCATTCAAACCCTGAAGCAGCAGAGCATTGCATGGCCACCGTGGACCTTCACACACAATTGTCATAGGCCATGTAGAAGTGAGTGAGTGAATTAAAATGTATTGTGGCATTAGCATTGTTTCAGTCATATATCTATAGTAACAATTTGTCACCGGAAGTACTTGTATTCAAGGACTGGCAGTTGACTGCCCTCTTTCTCAGTGTTAATGTTTCTTCAAGATACTGTTGACATGTACATGTTGAAAGACCAGTTGGACTGCCTTGTCACAATACCAGTCCTCATTTACTGGGCACTTACTGGATAACACGGTCACATCATCATCAAGCCAAGTCCATGTTTGAATATTCGAAGACCCAGGACCAAAACATGTTGTTCACATAAATATGATTTTATAAGGTGAAACACTGAATGAAAATGAAGCAATGTGGTACATATCACTGTAACATTGTATAACATGTATGGCCTTTCAAGAGCACTTTTATCAGGGCAAGATACATCATGTACACATCAAAGAACAATTCCTGCGTATTTCATACACAATATCAACCAGCGCATTAGGCTGTCAGCCACAAGGACCATGTCCCCCTCCTACAGTCAACATGCACATGTAGATATCTCACAACATGTACAATAACCATCATGTAAAAATATACAAAATAGAATTGGTTCTCAGTGTGGAAGAAGTCACGGCAATGGATCCATGGTATTGCTGTTCAAGAAAACAGTTTCCTCTGTTTCGGAATACTCTGAAAGCACTTTGAGATGATTTTACTAAGATAACATACCTTTCATCATCATTTTGTAGTCATAGTAATATCAAGATATGTTACCATGGTTACAATACTCCAGATTAGCTACTCACAAGACTCTTATAATCATTGCGATACGACTTAACAGTTCAATTCTTCACACAAAACAACTACATTGCAGGGTTGTCACAAAATCCATTTTAAACAAGACCAACATAGGATTGGCACAACAAATCAGTTTACTCCATAATGACCCAGGATGCAACTCGGCACTAGCCTGCTTACCTGAATCAGTGTGTCTAATATTAATGGTATCCTAAGGGCTTGTAAAATTTCAGGCTTTTTAGCCGTCCTTCTGTTATCACTATTCAAGCTGGCCTGAGTCAAGTTGTATGATCCTGTGGTCATAGGACATACAAACACTGGTTCCTGAATTTGCAGCATGTTCACTAATGGGGTTTATAAATAACAAATTTCCATTCTTAAAATATCATTCGAGATAGCACTGGCTACTGTGTTGTCAAATCTGGTGTCGCTGATAATTTGCATACTTTTCCATATTTGTTCTGAACTATGATTGTATCACAAGATGTTCCATGACTGTAAACCCAACTACAATATATAACATGGCCCTGGCAGTCAAATAAACATGACCAAGGTACTAGCATGTGTACCGAAATGTTGCATTGAAAGAACAAAAAAGTGGGAATCCATAAGTCAACTCACGGATAGAATCCTTCCACATTTACTGGTAATATCTATTTCATTATCAACTATTTCACCTCATTCAATTTCAAAATTGAAATGAGAGAAAATTGCACAAATGTTACCACGGTTACTGATGATAAACAATTAACAACTGAATGAGACTACTGGAATCATGAATGAGTATCAATGTCTTCACACAGGGCTCAGCGCAAGCAGTGACTGGGGCTTCTGATGCACTGAGGATGATGAGGATGCTGATGCTGATGCTGAAGATGATGATGAGGAGGATGAGGATGATTTACTGAAAGAGATGACATGATGATGACAATGAAATAATATGGATGAATGTTAAAAATCTAGGTCGTGGATGAAATGCAAGTTACTGGTGACACCTGACCATGTGTTTGCCATTGGTGGCACACAAACTTGTTTCATGAACTGTCGCAGTCCATTTGTGATGACTGGGAATCTGAAACACAAACATCATTATCATTAAAGTTGACAAAGAACAATGGTCATTCTTTTTTTTCTCTTTTGGGCATCAATTGACATATCCTGTCTATACATATTTACTTGATTATTTTCCCCAAACATCAACAATTTTTTGTCACTTCACCCGGTGAAATTATTGCTAGATCATGGCTACTACAGTGAAAGTTGAAGTGAAAAGGAAAGGCCAAGCTCAATGTTGCGGGAAACTATATTCTATCTGCTCACCGAGAACGACTTTCTGGGGTGATTTTGTTCAATTAATCTTTCAAGTAATTTATGGTCAAAATCCCTAAAGATTCCTGGAATGATGCACCTAATACACAAAAATACTCAATCAAATGACCACAAATTTTGCATAGAATTTTCGTAGTAAAGCCTTCATAATTAAAATATACGTTCAAAAAGGTCTAATACTCCTCTTGATTTCCAAACGAGAACACAATCTAAGTATCAAGGCGAAGCTGATGACTTTGAACCTGGGAATAATAAGTGGACTTACTTTCTCTCTCTTTCCGCTTTGCACGTTTCCTCCGTCTATCTATACATGCCACCTCCTGTTTGAGATTCATATAGATTTTGCGAATTTCTTGCATCTTGTCTATCAGGAACTCTATCCTCTTATCGCCCTCTAAGTACTTGCCTTCTTCTGGAATAACAAGTAAATGTACATACAACCTGCGTCTCAAAGGGAGCCAAATACACAATTCATTCCAACTAGTTTGTGTAACATTACTATTTTTGGAGAGAAAACTACAGTGACGCTGAACACACTGAGGTGTTGACATATTATTGAAAAGAACAAACATTATGAAGGCACACAGCAATACTGAAGAATAAAGTTTACTGTTGTGTAGGGTTGCAACGAATACACTATGAGGCAAATATGATTTGTATCACGAATATAGGGTAACGGATACGGATACAAATATTGATATCATATTACACCATTAAGGTGTAACGATATGGAAAGCCACAATATCTCGAGACACTAGTCACGATCTGATACATCTTGATATGCCAGAATAACATGTATTTCAAATAAGCAACGGGGAAGCCAAAATGATCCCAAACAGCACATTTGTAGGACTTGTGAAGCATTTTAACCTCACATTTATCCCTATATTTAGAGAGGGTCATTTATCCCTTTGTTAAGAAATTTTAAAATATGTATTGTGTATCATCATGTATCACAATAAAGGTTTTTATTTATTCTGTATCGTGTCACAAGCCACACATCCCATTGCATCAGAGTATCAGTGTATGGTTTCACCCTTAACAAACATGGTGATCTGCTTCTTCCCAACACCATGTGTTCATAATGAAGTACAACTCACCTATATTGAAGTTATATTTGGGAGGTCGGGGTGACCTGGTTTGAGCAGATTCTGGCATCTTCATTGGGGAGCTTGGTCCAGGGACATGGACCGGACTCGGCTGCTTCACTGTGTTGGTTTCATCACTGTCACTGCCTGTAATGCACCGAAGACAATACATGAGGTAGTCTGACACATCACTGTAATGATGGACCCCCAAAATGTACTTCACGCATTGTACCATTCACATCCAACCCTGGGAAGTGGGACCGCCTTAAACAATAGGCCACCTAGCCTCACTGTTATCACATGAAAGCAGCATACAAACAGAATCTCAGAGTATAATGAATGATACCTTTGGGCATTGTTCAGATCTACATGTTCTATTCTCAGCAGAATTCATCAATGGGAGGTAACTCCTTAATGGAGAAACCTACCAAGTACTAGGCCACAATCAGAAAATGAGACAATAGAAACAGTTTCAGTTCATTTCTATTTGCACCTTTATATTCATTGATAGATTTAACAATGAAGAAAGAGTGAGTAAGTGAGTATGGTTTTACAAGAAATGGGCTTCACACATTGTGCATGTTGTACCCATGCATGGAATCGTACCCTGATCTTCAGCTTGATGAGCAAACACAATGACCACAAGGCTACCCCAATGCCCAACAAAAAATATGTGCAGTACAAATATCTAATAACTTCATCATGTGTTTATGACAAATATTTAGTCAAATGCATTTTATATACATGAAATAGTCTGTGGGCAATACAAACACCTTATAACAAGTAGAACAAGCAAACTTTCTCAAACGTAAGTTTGCTTGTTTGTTGTTATGTGCCGCACTCAGCAATATTCCAGCAATATGACGGCGGTCTGTAAATAATTGAGTCTGGACCAGACAATCTAGTGATTGACATCATGAGCATTGATTCAAGCAATTGGGATTGACTAGATGCATCAACGCAGTCAGTGAGCCTGACCACCCGATCCCGTTAGTCGCCTCTTACGGCAAGCATGGGTTGCTGAAAACCTATTCTACCCCGGATGTTCATGGGTCTCAGACGTAAGTAAATATATGTACCATAAGCACCATTAAACAGATATACAGTGAACATCCTGGTCAGATTCAGCATTATTGTTTTCCTCTTAAACTGACCAACCCAAACAATTGGCATGCTTTATGTCCAAACAAGATGATGGAGCAAGCTACACAAACATATTCTACGACCCATGTTCAACAAAAATAGTTTATCCTAAAACAAAACATCATAACAGTGTGGCCTTTATTAATGGTAATTCCCATGGTATCATTCTTGTGTGATTACTAACCTGCCATACATGCCTCATGATCAAAACACTCACCTAAAACCATACTAAGCGTTGGTAGTCACCTTAACAAGATGTACTGATGGGACAGTGATTAACAAGTATTGCTTATTACCATGATTACTCCCAAGTTAGAAAATCAGGTTCACATATTAACATGTATTAACAATCTCATTAAAATCAGATCTTAGTTGTCGCTACCGCTAAACAAAGATCTGTGGACATCCCATTACGGGTCACGTCACACCGACCTTGCGCAAATTTTGACCGACCAATGGAATGACCAATCAGAAGGCAGCTTTCTCGTGCTTTACGGCACTATTTTCAAATTGGCGACAACGCTTCGAAACATATTTTGACAAATTCTTGATTACAAATTTGAAACCTGAACAAAAGAACATTCTGGAATCGCTAATAGATGGACTAGATTGTATGGATTCAATCGTTAAACCCGTAACTATCGTTCGGGACACCCCGTGTTAAAGTTTTCGAGGATGCATGATCAGAAATCACATACCGACTGTCACTTTCATGATCTGGTAAGCAAAGCTCTGATTGGTAGGATGAAAGGTCGTTCTGACGTGACCTCTACTGGGATGTCCTCAGATTTTTTGTCAGCGGTAGCGAGAACTAAGGTCTGATTTAAATGAGATTGACATATTAACAACGAAACTCACTTTGAACTGTTTTTATCTTCTTTTCTGATGCTTTTCCACCTTTACTAATACGCTTCTTCTTCTTGGATGGCGTAGTGTCTACTGTCTCTCTTTTCCTCTTGCCAATAGCCACAGATGCTACTTCCACATCGTTACTACTTTCAGAACATGGCAGAGCACTGTTGTTTTCATTAACCTCCAAGGAACTTGCACTGCACTCCCCAGCTGATGGTGACTCACTGCGGAGCTTAGCTGTCCGTTCTACAGACACACTGTCTTTCATTTCAGACCGAGCTTCGTTTATCCTGATCGGAGCTGCTGGCTCAGCCTCGTTCAGCTCATGCTCAGGGGTGGTGGGTGGAGTATTGTCCAGCATGGTGTTCACACTTAACTCAGCGATGGGCTCAGCTTCTCTAGGTAGATCTTTGACAGTGGAGACAGTTTCGGCACTTGTACTTGGTTTTGGCGAGGGACACACAGGTTCAAATTTAAGAACTTTTGAGCAAGTATTTACTGGACTTGGTGACCTTGATCGGGGACGTTTTTCTTTTTTCTCTTTAACACCACTCTCAGCTGGCTCAATGTCACTAACTTTCACATCTTTAATCTTTTTAGAGTCCTTTTTAGCACACCTTTCCCCCTTCACTCCCTTCACCTTAGCACTCTCCTTTACAGAATCCTTCTTCACTTCAGTCTCTTTCTTTTCACTCTCCTTCTTACATTCTTTCTTTTCACTCTCCTTTTTACATTCACTAACAACGTCCTTTGAATCACTCTCCTTTTTTACATCTTCTTCCAAGACGGTTTTCTTCTTGACTTTTTTCTTAACCTTCTTCTTTTCTGTTTCTCCACCTTCCACAACATCAGGCTTGACTTCCATATCAATGGTCAGGAACCTCCTTCCCAGGAGATCAGACTTCTTATCCCGTCTCAACACCAACTCTTCTGGTTCTTCAAATCCCTGAAAGTCATACAAGTCCATCGCAGCCTTCATCCTGGCTTCCTGAGGTGTCATCACATGAGGTTCTGCAGGCTTTGGTTCCACTGCAACTGGCTCAACAACCTTCTGTTTCTTTCCCTCCTTCGTATCTTTTTTTTGTTTCCTTCCCCGTTCCTTCTTCTCTACTTCTTTCTCCTTCTTTGGCACTTCAGGTTCAATCTTCTTAATCTCTGGCATTGGCAAAGGTTCCTGTTTCTTCACCTCTGACACAATCTCTTTAGGCTCTTCGGGCATCTTCTTGAAAGCTTCATGAAGAACTGGCATCTGCAGCAAAGCTTCTGAAGCCTCGTACCTAGCCTCATCAGCAGCGGTATCTGTTTTCCCATCAACACATTTCGTCACTAATTCCTTGAATGGTTTCTCAGCCACAAGTTCTGGAGCAGAATCCTTCTCCAAAGCTTTCTCAATCTCCTCCTTCTTCTCAATTGGTTCAATTTTCCTTGGCTCCTCAACCACAACAGGATCTTCCTTCACCTCAATGACCTCAGAAACTTTCTCTACCTCCTCCTCCACAACCTTCTCAGGCTCTGGTTCCATGGACGGACTGATCTGTTGCTCTCCATGGTCCATGTCTTCTTCCTCTGACTTCAACATCTCCTCTGTGCACTGTAACAATGAATCATCCTCTGCTGTAACCAGATCAAGTTCTCCGTCCCGACTGACATCGGTGTCCTTTTCCTCCACACTTGTGTCATGCTCTTCCTCATGAGGTTCCTCCTCCATGCTGGTGTCATGTTCAGATTCCTTCACATCAAACTCGTCGCTATCTTTTTCCAGCTTGTGCTCCTCAACCACCACAACAATCTTCTGTTCGGTTTCATCACTGTCAGAGTCACTGCTTTCATCACTCGCTGAAAATAACATGATAACTTTCAGAACATGAGTTCATTACTCCACACATACAGATTCAGGTTTCACTCTGTAACATGAAGACCAAGCTTTCTAGTGTTATCAAGATATTTAAAAGTATTGAACTCGGCAATATTCTAGTTGCATATATGACAGCAGACTGTACATAATTGAGTCTGGACCACACAATCCAGTGATTATTATTGTGAGCAACAATCGACACTATCAGGGTACGATGATACTCAATCAACTAAGTCACTGAATCTGAATACCCGATCCATTTGCTGCCTCTTACGACTAGCATATGTTGCTGGGGACCTCTTCTAACCTCTATAAAGATGATCAGAGATTTGCCTACCATGTGAAACTGTATCTGAGGTTTCTGTAATGCCAGAACTTCTTCGTGTAAGTCTCTTTGCTGAAAAAGCAATGATTAACTTTACAATTCCCTTTAAAGTACCTACGTATTATTCATATCCAAGTCATGAGGCAAGAAACAAGTGACATGGTTAATACTGCTTCAACTCTTGTCATGAATACTTACCAAAGGTATCACACACAAAACAGTTTTGTTAACTTGTTGTTTAATTATGCACTAAGCAATATGTGACAGCAGCCTGTAAATAATCAAGTCTGGACCAAGCAAACCAGTGAATAATATTGAGTGACATCCCACGCCATCAGGGTACAATGACACACTATGAACCAACTCACTGAGCTTGGACAAGACATAATTATTTAAAGGTTATGATATAGCTAGAATACTGATGACCGAGTTTTGAAACAGACAACAGTCAACAGGTATATTGTCATCAAATTATATGCGAACAAATTCAGATGCTAAGTTTCAGCCACAATAGCGTAAACCTATGGGTGAACTAACTGTCAAGCAACGCACATTAATTATTCCCATGTCAACTTACGGGGCAGTCCCTCCATGACCTGTCCCTCCATACTGTTGGAGCGTGTGGGTCGGGTCTTGGAACTCTGGCCACTACCAGGTGCTGGGGACTTGCTCTTGGGAGTTGGGGTACGGAACTCGGCACTAGTGCTGCCTCCAGGACTTGGGGTGCCGCTAGACGGCGGCCGACCTCGCTTCTTCAGCAGATTGCTCACCTGCTGCTGTTGAGTTTGTTGATGTTGCTGCTGTTGCAGCTGTTGTGAGAATGCAAGCACATTCAGTTAGGTGACTATTATTTATCACATGCTCAGATTGATCCACAAACTGTCAAATTGTCTGTTTGTTTGTTTGTTGGTTTGTTTGTCATTTAACGCCACGCTCAGCAATATTCCAGCTATATGATGTCAGTTTGTAAATAATCGAGTGTGGACCAGACAATCCAGTGATTGACAACATGAGCACCGGACATGACATAACTGTTCATTTACACTATAAGATCTTGCCTGATTTCTCGAAATGTGGTCTTATGGTCTAATTCAGGTACTCATTCTAAAATATACCTAATCCAATCTTAACTAGGATGAAATAATAATCTTTGTGTAACTTTCATTAATATTGGTAACAGGATTCTGTACCTTTGGAGATGGTGCTTTTGGTGAAACAATTTTCTTCTGTGAGTGTTTTCCTGAATCTGGCCTGTTGACAATGGAGATGATCCTGTCTGCCTTCACCCATTCATCATACCTGGAAGTTGCATAAACAAACATTAACATTCCGTCACAGGATTTGACAAAAACACAAACAATACCAAAGCTTAGAAGTCGGGCTGTGTGGTGAAATAGGGTTTCATGCCGCATCCAAGATTATTTCACTCAGATTGTTAGTTTGGATGTGCATGTGTGTGTGGCTCCTTGCATTATTGTGCTTGCTTACTGATATACCATGCCACGTCTCAGCGGATACCCTACTGAGACATACACAGACTCTAAGTCGGCTAGGCCATTTCTTTATTTCCTTAATGCCGAGTGTCTGTCAGAGCAACAAGTACCTATTTTAACATCTTTTGGCAGAAGTGAGGGATAAAGTTTTTCTCTTAAAGGAAACACAATAGGATGCCATGAAGTTTTGATTTCAATGATACAGGCTTTATCTTGATACAAACATCTGGAGACCTTAGCAAAGAAGGTTGAAAACTGTTGAGATCACTGACTGAACAAGAGATAATGATCAACGTTCATTTACATATCCAAAGCCAAGATTCTAATTCCTTCTTTACCTGTTGTTCCACCCTGCATAATGCACCAGGTAGGTCTTGTGAGATCCATCCTTATTTGCTTCAACCACCTGCAATTTCAACAAATATAACATTTAACATTGAGAAACAGTTACCAGAGCTCCAGATAAGCTTTTGGTGTTGTGGGGTATTTTACCCATGCATTTAAAAATCATTGGGTATCAGTAATTCTATCTGGGTATTCAAATTTCTGTTACGCACTAGTTTTTACACATGTGGGTATTTAAGTTAAATATTTAAAAACACTATTCATCTAGGCCCTGCAAACTGGTTTCGTGTGGGTTCGAGAGCTTTATAGGACTCAAAATACCACGATACTTCAACAAGAAAGTGTGATGGCAAATGATCATGATGTAACTGTCATCGTGGACTTTGGCAAGGTTGACGGAATGCCCGTTTATAATTTCAAAATAAGTTGCTGATTTGCTAATCGAATACGCAGGGTTACTTCACAATATTTTGATGATACGCACAAGTTTTATTTTGTAGCGTATCTGTAATGTTCGTTGCGTATTTGATACACTTTGATTTGATTTTACTGCGTATTTCTGAATTTTTGATGCGTATTTTACGCAGATACGCAGCTTATTTGGAGCTCTGAGTTACTGCTACTTTGACCTCTCTTCCTGTCATATCCCAACAGAGCAGCCACAGGCACCTCTTGTATCACCTGTTCATGACTATTTCTGTAAAGATATTTCTAGCTCTTAAAAAATGTGTGATCTATTTTGTTATTTATATGATGCTTAAGTGATTGTATGGCGCATCGTTTGAAGATACTGTCATACGTACTGGATAATGGGCTGGTGGCCCCTTTACGGAAATAAAACTTCAGCCACAGACAGGGTTTGATGAAGCATACAAACTTGTGTGTGGTGCTGACCGACCTGAGATCATTATCAAGGTGAGTGTGATATGAAACCATGATCATTTACAACTGTAATACCAACCATCTAACTAAAAAGGCTGTGTTTGAGAAGGCCTGATAATAGTAACGCTGCTTCAGAAATTACACAGCATGGGGAAAAATAAAACATGAAAGGTTCACTGATGCTTCCACTTCCTGGTTCTGCTCACCTTTGCTTCATACACCTTCTGGTTCCGCCCCCGACCGTACCGGACCTTCAGTTTGGTGCCGGTGGGGAACTCCTCCCGTGGACGTAGGGAGATTTCCTCTTGTTCCTCCTCAGCATCACTGTACAACACAACAGAAAGAACTTAACATGATAACTACGCCGTTGTTCAGACTTCTCTCAAAAAACATAAATCATTTCCGAAATATTGCCATGATCAATCAGTGTTCCCACTGGCTTTTGAAACTGCCAGTCCTGGTGGACTGGCAACTCTAAAAATTACCAGTCCACCTTATTTTTTTGTCAGTCCCAACTTTAACAAATAAAAATATGTATGAATTTACCTGGTTATAATTCTTTCAATATCATGTTCAATGCCATGACATCATAACTGAAGTAACTAAGATCTACATGTTATTCACACGAAGCTTAGTCACAATTTTCGCTTTTTTTAGTGACTACGTTTTTAACCTCCGAAGAAAAGAAAAATGTTATTTCCTTGCACTACAACATGACAAGGGGAAACCCTGATGGTAACAGACAAGTTGACTTTGTTCCAAAACTATACTTACCGTATATGAATATCGCTGATGTTTTGCTCAACAACAAAGATTCATAAGCTACTTTATTTGCCAGTCCACATGGACTGGCAGTGACACAAATTAACGGTCCAAGCCTAATTTTACTGGTAAAAAACTGGTAATTACCAGTAAACAGGAACACTGGATAAATAACTCAATTGAAAGATCTCAGAGATTTGTTACCTTGATTCTTTTTATTCATAACATGTTTTTTAAGACATTCTATCATGAATTTGGAAAATATTTGATATGTCAATCAGTGGTACCAAATAACAATAAACCCCTATAAAGGCTGTATCACCACGGAGGCTAGTATTCTTAGAATTGTACTTCTTTCACAGTCATTGTTGGAAGGCATATCTAAACAATTATATGTTCAATTATAGGCTACAAAATGCAAAGTTGCGGCTACTACAATATACTAATGATGTGTGGCAATACATATTGCACAGAAAACACAACAGACATCTGCAAAGAGGATGTTTTTAAGTTTTGTGGACAACAGAGAGCTCTTTTGCATCGCAGTGAGCGATATGACGTCATAATAGTGACATGCGGTTCAGAGCAAAACCTTTGCAAGGCTTGCTTTTCTCAAGGCCTGCCAACCTCATGTTATTTTATCTTATGAAGTTGCCGTGCCACATGCTTTCAGTGCATGTCATAAGTTTGTGTAAAACAAACAGTTTGAGCATATAGAGTACCATATTTTGTTGTCAGCTTTTGTCAGAGACTCTTTAAATTCTGATCGACAACCCACTCAAAACATGGACATGGACACAACCCATGCCGCTTCACTCCATGTATTTACTAACACCAAAGAGTTCGCATATTATTTAGTCTTGGTAGAATGGTGATAAACATACTGTGTTTTCAATGTAGATCTAGGTTACCTGTAGATTTAACCACAGTTAACCAAGAGACATTGAAAACACAGTATGTTTATCCTCTAAGTCACTTGAGTAAATCAGTTTAGCCGTCTATGCCAGATTAATTTGTTTTCTTGTTTATGAATGAGACTGTTGTACTTACTTGTTGTTTGTAATGTTTTGTCAAATCAAATCATTTAGACAAGTGTGTTTATTTTTAAACATACAAGACATGAATAGTTGCCAACCTTCCCAAATTACATTAGTATTTTGTTACGATCTTCTGGTCCGGACACAAAGCCCACAATATGAATCATCCACAGTACAATACAATCATGTGATTCTGAAAGATTCAGGGGTGAAAATTTGCCATTTCCCGACTCCCGGGGCAAGTAGAAATACGAGGTAAAATGGTACAATAAAAGAGTTGAGAGAAATTTCGTAATCGCGCTTTCGTAACATCCCCTGTTTTTTTTCCGTAGTTATATCAAGTGATTTCATTGGATTAAAATTGGTTTCTAATGACGCTTTCTTGCCGAAATCTGCTACAAGTTTCGTGATTGGTCAATTTTGAGCACGTGACCTCAGGCAGCCAATCAAATTACAGGTGTGATACCAAGCTCGTGTTTGATAAATTTCAGAAGTTGGCGAAAGATTTTTGTTAAATCATGTTATTCTGAACGTTTTAAGCAGGAAATCACGATATATATATTAAAAATATGGAACTTCGTGAATGTATCGTGCTAGGTTACGAGCAGTGACAAAGATTTTTCATGCATATATTTTTGCATTAAACATCGTGTCCGAGCCAAGAATTCAAGGCGACGAAAGCCGAGATGTCATTTGACTTACATTACACGCGATCGCACGAAAAGATGGAAATAATAACTTAGATGTAAGTTTGATTACTTTTAGATATATTTTTGTTGATTTTATTTATTACTTTGTATAATATATTTAAAGATTTGTTTAAAACGTCTTTATTTCGCTCTTTGACATGTTTGATGTGGACCGAGAATTTTATTTTCAATAACATCGCGGGAAATAGTGAATAATTTTTTAATGTATCGATAAAAAATGATAAATTGAAATGGAATACGTATTTCAGACATTGTGAAATGTGAAATTATTCGGGCAAGTGAAAATGAAATCAGGGAAAGTGAAAACTGTCTTTAAACTAACTTGTCCGATGGCAAGTGAAGTTTTTTTAAAAATTTCCACCCCTGCTCAGATAGTTGACAATTTTTATTGTTACTTCCGATAATAAGAGTAGAATGTCAAGATTGGAATAGACTTCATACCAGTCAGTAAAAACAAGATGCATTCATAGCCCATGGTTTAAGGTTTAATTATGACCTTCTCTTTAACGGTGTCCATGAACATTTAGTCCTCATGATTTGTTTTCTCAGAGACTGGCTTATTATTCATATAATAAATTTAGGAAGAAATATATACTGTATTTGAGGTAATAAGCGCCCCGCTCTACATTCTCTAATAAGCGCCCACGCCAACATTTGCTAATATATTGGCTAGTGAACAATCCCAATTAGCACCCTTCCGATTGATCAATGTACACAAGTCATTTATTTGTGTATAATATGCACTCATGTGTTATATGTACCCTTAAATTAACGCCATTAAGTTCTGGAAAAATATTTCTGTCGTGTATAATACTTTTCGGTTGTATCATTTCAGGCTGACAGCATAAACCACGGAATTTACGATCTTTCAACTCTTTCACTGAAAGGGCCCACTATTTCTAATTTTGAGAGCACCCTTATTACGTCGAATATGGTATTTTAGTTGCATATTTGTAACCAATACAAAAGACATTGGGCATTTGGCAGCTATTGACATGAAAGAATATTAACAAAGGAACAAAAATGAAATTGACCTGGCCTTTTCCTTATTTATGTACTTACTCATCAGATTCCTCTTCCTCCTGTAGCTTAGACTTCATGTCCTCCTTTGGTTTGGGGCTTTCTTTGGGTTCTTTCTTCTTGTCTTCCTTTTTCTCCTCCTTCTTCTGTTCCTTCTTGTCTTCTTTCTTACTTTCTTTCTTGTCTTCCTTCTTAACCTTGCCACCTCCATCCTCCTTTTTCATCTTTTTCTCTTCTGTTTTTTTCTCCTCGACTTTTTTCTCTTCTACCTTCTTCTCTTCGGCCTTTTTCTCCACAATTTTTTTCTCTTCAACCTTCTTTTCCTCGACTTCCATTTCCTCGACTTTCTTCTCTTCAACCTTCTTCTCTTCAAGTACTTCCTCCGTCTTCTCCTCAGGTTCTTTCTTCCCCTCATCCCCTCTCCCAGATTTCCTCCTCGTTACCTGGGATACAGTACATATCATCATAAAAGAGGAAAGAATCAATGATAACAGGATGAGTGACTGTCATTTTCCTCTAGTCAGTCATATCATGGTGGCCTGGAAATACTCACGCCATCCTCACAAGGATCATGTCTCAACAGTTAATAGACACCATTTTAATGGGGACTTTTACCCGCAAAACAAATGTATGAACAGGACATAAAGTGGCCGATGAATAAAACATGGAGCTGCTTGTTGTGGAAGGATCTATATCAATGTACAAGATCTAAAGTCCTTTCATAAAAGCAGGGTTTGAAACTAGTCTAAAAGCTCTGCCTACCATTTTCATACATTCATAGCAAATACTCTGCTTTTGCTGAAAGGTTTACTGGACCAGCTGGCTGCTTGGTCAATAAGCAAATATAAATACTCTCTGCTCTTCTTCAAATCAAAAGCTTCATTGCACAATGGTTATTCGACAATAACTAAAACCCTCTGTCAGTGCCTTTTCTTACAGAAGAGACTACATCACAGTCTTAACACAATATCAGGGCTGGTCAAATTTAAAACATCCTTACTCAAAATACAGAATTTGTGTTTAAATCTTACGTAAAACAATCATTTCTATTATAATCTTAATATGACTTAACATATCAAGAAACAATCTACGTGAATGAGAATCCTCACCCTTTGTTTCTTAACAGATTTTTCTTCCTCCTCTCCTTTAGTCTCTTCTTCCTTGTCCTTTTCCTCCTCTTTTTCCTTTTCTTTCCGTTTTGGTTTCTCCTTTTCTACCTTCACGTCTTCCTTCTGTCTATCCCTCTGGCCTCGTGTCTCCCTATCAGACTTCACTTCATCCTTTTTACTATCAGACTTATCCTCCTGCTTGTCTCTCCTGGAAGATTTACGATCGTCTTCAGAAGCCTTCTTGTCATCCTTCTTTCCCTTGTGATCATCCTTCTCTTCCTTCTTGCTCTTAGCTTCTTCTTTCTCTTCTTTTTTACTTTTTGCTTCTTCTCGTTCTTCCTTTTTTGATTTGGCTTGCTGTGTGATTAAAAGCATTAGTTATTACTCTTTCCAAAATTAAAGCCAACAACAATTAATATTTTTACTAACCAATGTTATCAAAATGTAGTGTAGGACTCCAGCTACCCATATTAACAAATGGGTCACTAAATGGCAGGATCTACTCATATAGAATGTCATTATAATGTTTTGCTCCCCTCAGATCGAACAGGTCCTATGTACTCTAGGCATGTCACAAGAGCAAAATAAAATGAAGATCGGGCAGCTACATTGTGTGACTCGTCTGACAGTGTGACATTGTATACACATTTATCTAGGGTATCTATCTCAACTCATATCAACTTGCCAATATGTGATTATTTACCAACAGAGTGAGTGAGTTAGTGAGTTGGGTTTAACGCCGCTTTTAACAGCATTCCAGTTATATTGCGGCATGTCAGCTTAATGTGAGAGGAAAGCCCGAAGTGATGCAGGTCTCAGACGTTTACCACTTTGGTGAAACCCACGAGCACAGGTATGGTGCTGACAAACCTAGAAACATAATCAGGGCGAACCGGGATTCGAACCCACAATCATAGGTTTCTGGCCTGCCCTAGGGACGCAACTCTACACAGCGGACCACGGCGAAATTAGACAATTGGGCCACCCGTGCCCCCATTTACCATCAGACATGACATAGCTTGAATGTTGCTGAAGTACATCACAACATCAGACACTTTTCCAAAACAATACACTTGACAAATGACAGCTTACCTCTTCTTTCTCTTCCTTCTTCCTCCTGGCTTCTTCCTTCTTTTCTTTCTCCTTCTCCTTGGCCTCCTTCAGATCATCCCGCAGCATCCTGCGTGGAGTTGTCCGCTCTTTGCGCACTGGTTCCGAGTCCGACTCCTCCTTCCTAGTTGACACCTCGTCTTTAGTCCCAGCATCCTCTTCCACTTCCTTCCCATCTTCGGACTGACTCTCATCTGACTTCGACTTGCCCTTGTCACTGTCCTCCTTAATTGAGTTCACATGAGCATTTATTAAAACTTTACAAAGTAACATATAGTCTTCTTATTTTATAAGGTCTAGTAACCTTTTGCTGGGCTAGCAGAAAAAACAGCTAGCAGAAAAAACAGATCCCAATAAACCTGCGGGCTTGTTTGTTTTTGGGTTAATTATTTCATATTTTACACAGACAGAAGTCTTGATGTGTTTAGCTCACCTTTTCACTTTCTTTGGGTTTGACAGGTTTGGGAGACTTAGAATCTTTCTCTCTCCCCCTGAAGGCCAGAATGCTTCTTCCTGAACTGTGCCGACTGCGGCCAGGTCGGCTGATGGTCCCCATGGTACTGCCAAGCTTACGGTAAAAGTCTTCAAATGCATGGAGGAACCTAAAACAGATGATGGGATTGATGCTAAACCGTGGAACAAATCCTGAAAGTTTTTCGAAAAACGAAGATATGACCAGTAGCATGTAGGAGTTGGATCTCAAGCAGCAGGAACAGTGCAGCCACCACCAACTTTTAGTTACCTCCACTGAGTGACAGTCTTGCCATATGTGGCTCATGCACATGAATACACATGGTCTGCCATAAACCATAAAAGTGAGGAAGTCTAATGGTTAATGTGTTGGACTGCCACACAGAAGGACCGGGTCTGATACCTCACAAGGGTATAATGTGTGAAGGCCATATCTGCTACCCTTTCATTGATTATATTGTTGGACTGCTGCTCAAAGCAACGTAAAACCATTCTCACTTAATATTTTAATACAGACTTTTAACACATTAACCACCCTGGCTATTTCACTGATGAGCAAAGTCAATGAAGGAAAGCAGTACTCACTTCTTATAGGCATTCTTGATTTGATGTGAGGCAGTGTTTGATTGTGGTAGAGCCATCTTGGAGTAAACCAGTCTCCACTTCATCTGGTTAGTTACCTGAATATAGCAGCAATAATTAATTATAGAATGTGAAACACTGCTTATGAGGAGGATTGTAAATACCTTTTCAAACAAGTGGTTAACAGGTCGATGGCAAAACCTGAAAATTTGTAAACAAAATCTGAAAAACACTATCGTTTTTATTCCACCTAATGCACACTTATGCGTTAACAACAAAATAATAGTCCATGCTATTTTCTAAATAGCCAAACTGTCAACACCTGCTCAACCAACACTACTACAGCCATGTTCACATATTCAGATAACATCTGGACATGTTTAAGAGCAAATAAGGAAATCTCAAACGTTTACACCAATCAACAAAAACTTTCAGAAAAAGGTTAATTAATCAAGAAATGAAAATTCTTGTCTAACAAAATTTGAAGTTTAAGCAAAGTTTGCCCAAAACTCTCCAAAAAAAACCTACCCGGTTATAACCACCTAGGTTCTGTACAACCCTGAATAACTTGTACAGATTGAGGTCTCGTGTTCCAATACTGGGCCCTTTGTTGATAGGAGTTCCTGAAAAACACAGCCAAGCCGATGAAACAAGGACATACTACCCTCCTACCACTAATAACACTCACAAAACTAGCATCATAAGGCCAGACCAATTATTATTTCTTTTGCAAATCACAAATTTACCAAGTTTTTTTATCTCCTGTTCGTTCACCTAAAGCAATACGATGTAGCTTTTGACTGCTCACTCTATATATGGAATTGTAAATTTTCATGAAAATTGTACCAAAGAATGAGCGGCGTATATTAGATCCCCTCCAAACATGTTTTCGAGCTTCACCTCTTTTCGAGCCCCTAATTAATATGTGACCACACGCTTAATGATATAATCAAGGTAGACACTTCAAAGCTCGTTGAAAACATCAAATGTTCGCCACTTGTGCTAGTTAATTTGCCGTAATTAAGCTTAACGAGGTAAGATAGTCAAAAAGTAAACATATCTAAAAACTTACTTTTTCACTAATGCACATTTTTAAGCAAACTTGATGGGATTGTGATTTTACATCAGAACAATCGTATGCACCGATGATGTTTCGGCTGCTGTTTGTAAACTTCTTGTCTGTAATGTCATGTGATCATGTGTATCTATTTTTAACTTGACACCCAATTGACTTGGTATAATCACGATCAAATTGACAAGATGTGGTCATTGACTATCCAACTGTATACAAAAATAAATATTCTCAATGCAAGACTTACTTTTAGTGTATTGCGATTGTTATTAGACACATAATGAGAAATACTTCTTAGGCGCGGGAAAACACAGTGCGTGGGGATACAAGTGCATACTATACACAAGAACATGGCCCCTTAAATCCTTAATAAAAACATTTTTTAATTGAACAAGACAGACATTTTTCTTTTCAATCCTCCATCCAGCCAATCTGGTCCTAAGAATCCTAACCACAAGAAAACAAATTGGTCTGGCCTAAATATATACAAAACAGTAGCAACATTGCTGTTCAGGTCAAACATATCACAAACTCCCGCACCCAAAATGAGTAAATTTCTAACCGTTTGTTTAATAAGGCAACAGAAGTCCAGAACTAACCTCTATCATCCATAAACTTATACAGCTGGGCTACAAATCGGTCCTTCTCTTCACTGGGCTCATCGTCAGAGGACTGAAATAGGATTAAAACAAAAATATTGGAAATGAACAACAAAGCCGAGGAGAGAGTGAAGGGGGACACCTCAGAAGCTTTTTGATTGAATGACTTGGGTCCACTGCTTCTGAAACTAGCATTCCAGTTCATGACATGTATAACATGGGAGGATAAAGGGACATAGACCATTGCCACATTTGCCAAATTGGCTTGTGACGATACGGGTTAGAATAGGTCTTCAGCAACCCATGCTTGTTGTAAGAGGCGACTAAGGGGGTCAGGCTCGCTGACTTGGTTGACGCATGTCATCGTATCCCAATTGTGTAGATTGATGCTTCTGATATCAATCACTGGATTGTCTGGTCCAGGCTCGATTATTTACAGACCACCGTCATATAGCTAGAATATTGCCGAGCGTGGCATTTAACAGCAAAGAAACAATACATCTGTCAACATGGTCAAACCAACTACAATGGACACTGACCAACAGAGGTACAAATACATTAAGGCAACAATCTAAAATTTATCTGAAAACATTTTACTTTCAGTTGTTGAACATGTTGAATGAAATGTGTTTTCATGCTCGGGGAGCCAGGATTTTGGGTTAAATGTGATACGCTGTGCCCAATCCAATTATTATAGAAGTATCAGTGCATCATGACAATGCGCCAGGTTCTTCCTTCATGATGAGTTTCACAATTGTTTCAAGCTTACTTTACATGCTTTGATTGGTAATGGGACTCTTATTTCAGACAATAATCATAACACCTACATCTTCATCACCCATGTCTTCTTCGTCATCAGAACCCAGCAACTCATCTCTCTTCCATGGACCAGGCAGCTCATGATTGTCAAAATACAGGAGCGCTTTCTCTAAAGCTGAACAACAAATACAGGTCAAAATACAGCAGTGCTTTCTCTAAAGCTGAACAACATATACAGGTCAAAAGACAGCAGCGCTTTCTCTACAGCTGAACAACAAATACAGGTCAAAATACAGCAGCACTTTTTCTAGAACAACAAATACAGGTTCAGAGCAATGGCAAAATACAGCAGTGCTTTCTCTTGTTAGTCTAAAGCTGAGCTACAAACATAGTATAAGTGTTTGTCCCTCAAAAGTTGGACTGTGGGAGAAGGAGTAGAGATTACACTATTATTGTACTATTTCAATTACTGTATATGAATCACTGCAAATCACCTTGACAAAACGTCATGACATTGATATCAACTACAGGACGAAGTTTACCATGTTTACTTGTGTGTAGCCCCGTGAAGATCCGGGGGTAGAATAGGTCTTCAGTAACCCATGCTTGCCTTAAAAGGTGGCTATGCTTGTCGTAAGAGGCGACTAACGGGATCGGGTGGTCAGGCTTGCTGACTTGGTTGATGCATGGCATCCTATCCCAAATACGTGGATTGATGCTCATAATGTCAATCATTGGATTGTCAGGTCCAGACTCGATTCTTTACAGACCGCCGTCATACACCAGGAATATTTCATGGCTGCACGTAAATAGTCCTATCTGAGTAAGGTCAACCAAGGGTAGATGGTATGAGCATTGATCCACGCTGACGGAGCAATGACACCATTAGCCAGACCATTAATAGTAAACACCAATTCCTCAGTTTAGTTTGATTGTTGTTTAAGCCACACTCAGAAATATTCTAGCTATATGATGGCGGTCTGTAAATAATCGATGCTGGACCAAACAATCCTGTGATTGACATCATGAGCATCAATCCATCCAATTGGGATCGATGACATGCATCAACAAAGTCTGCGAGTCTGATCACCCGATCCTGTTAGATGCCTCTTATGACAAGCATAATCGCCTGTTATGGCAAGCATGGGTTGCTGAAGACCTTTTCTACCCCGCTCAGTTTAGTCATCTTGTACAACTGTACATTCCCACAAGCTGATCAAATAACACATAAAACTCACCAGTTTTGAGATTTTTATCCTCATTCTTAATGGCAATTTCACGTGTGAAATCCTTTAGTTCTTTCTTCAATACAGATAAGCTGAATATAGAGAAAACAATTGTTGTAATTTCTACCACAAGATCATGAGTAGCATTGAACTATAAGGCATAAACCAGTAGACTCAACATAAGGAAACGTTAAGCTGTCAATTTGACAGCAGTCAATTGTATATTGAAACAGGTAAAAGCTAAATTGATCATCGTCTTAGTTCTACATCGAAAACAGCATGCTTATCTCCATTCTACCATGACAAAATGTAAACTCTTTGACATGTTTGGTGTTGGCGAGAAAGCGAGTAAAGTGGCCTGGTATGAGTGTTAAGTTTGAAATGGGTTGCCAATTTGAATTGATTAAGGAACTGCAATAACTGCCTCAAAAATTGTTTCTTTACCAACAGATTTTAATCATCAAATGCAGGCAAGGCATTAAGCATGTTAAAAGACCTTAGCTCATTCAGTGTCCTCTGGGTAAATCCCTGGACATGACAAAAGAGAATCTTCATTTGACACTTACAATTTTCCATCTTTGAAAGACTTCACTAGAACGTGATCCTTAGTCTTGAGATCCATTGAAGCAGCATCAGGAAGTACGACTAGAACAGGATTGGGACCTCCTTTCCGTTTGTCTCCGGCCTCAATGACCATGACTTTGCCAACCAGCTCCTGCTGACGACCCCTGTAGGAAGCTCTTTTGGGCGAATTGTCCTCAGAACTACTTTCATCAGACTCGGTGTCCTCTTGGGCAAGATAAAGGGTGTTGAATCTGGAGTCAAAATAATTCTATCATAAATGAAATGGCAATTTTGCAGTAAGGAACAACTGTAACATATAAAGATAGAAAGGCACATGTTAAACACATGCTTTGTTTGTTTGTTGTTAATTCTGACTCGATCCCCAAATGACAAGGGTGACGCCATTTTTGTTTGTAAACACTGTTTGTTTGTTGTTTAACGCCGCACTCACCAATATTCCAGCAATATGACGACGGTCTGTAAATAATCGAGTCTGGACCAGACAATCCAGTAATTGACATCATGAGCATCGATGACATGCATCATCAACCAAGTCAGCGAGCCTGACCACCCGATCCCGTTAGTCGCCTCTAACGACAAGCATAGTCGCCTTTGACGGCAAGCATGGGTTGTTGAAGACCTATTCTACCCCGGGAACTTCACGGGTTTGCAGGCTAATGACATGTTAGAAGTGTACCTCTGGATGCACTGTTCACAAATACTGATCATGTTGATAGTAGTGGAATAGGAGACATTATTTTGAAAAGCTAAACATGATCAAAGTTAATTCTTTCTATTTAGAAATGTTACTGACAGTGTGTAAATCTTTATATTCTCAACATCATTATTGAAGAGTCAGCTAGGTATGTAGGGTGTCAAACATGAACATACGCCAACAAACTTCAATATGCCTGTGAATGCTGACAATGTGAGGTGGTGAGGTGAAACGTTGTTTAACGAATTGTTCAAGATTATTGCCCTTATATAGATATGTGCATGCACATGTGTGGCTGTTTGTACTAGTCTGGACTAATGCCAATTTTATAGGGCTAGCACACTGAGATACCATGCTGCAGTTCTTCATGAATACGCCACTCAGACACAGTTTACCGACTCCAAGCCATGAGTCCTTGTTTTAGTCCTTTAATGCTGTGCGAGACAGGGTAACAACAAGTACAACCTTATTACGACTTTTGACAGATGTTCTACCACAGAGGAAGAACATGAAGAACATTTTGTATATGTCTATCGCACACTGAATGGAAGCTTTTATAAAACCGGAAAAGTTCGAAATTCAGATTAAGGAAGCTGGAATAAACTGACACTAGAAACCCTCTAGTGTGGGATAACTTCTACCAGAGGTCGCAGGGTCAGATCCAAGGTGTAAAAGTCAAGAACATCTGGGGTTTGTGACCGAAACTATGAACACCTTGCACATTCTCAAGAGCCACGTCTCGGAGATAATGACTAGCAAAGACAGTATCCAAGGGCGAAAACAACCCTCCATAATGGATTTGATGGAACAATTGCAGTAGAGAGCCATGGTCGAAGTGACAGCTTGATGGGGGTTGTTGGCTCTAGGCGGGTACAGCCAGTGAGATAGTGTTATGACTAACTTCCGCCTGGGATGTAGACGAGACCCGACTGAACAATCGTTTCCGAGATCCATGTTGTGTCGTTGGTCAATGGAGGAAAACCCTTAAGGCTAGAACTGGGCACAGAAATAATTAATCATTGTCCTCGGAACCCACTATCGATGATAAGGGAGGAACGGTGAAGGATCTGTCCTGGGAGTAATGAAATCTTAGTAATGAAATCCCAGCACAGCACCCTCTGCGCCTGAACTGTACTCGGGATAACGAGCTTGGTGAAGGACAGGGAGGAGATGGTGCTGTATTATGTGCCACCTGTCGTTTGGTACCAGGAGGAAATCCCGATCCATGCGAAATAGGCTGCCTATGAATTGGAGCTTGAAGGACAGTGAGTTCCGACTTGAGCTTGTTGACGATCCATCCCAGTTGTGTGAGTAGACGATGCATGAAATCGTTGTGGAGAAGGGCATTTCCTGGTCCTGATGATTTTATATATATATATATACAGCATTGGGCAGGACAAAAGAACAGTTCTATATATCCATCAGTTGATTATAAATGTAGTTTACTGTATTTTTGGTTATGTTCAAGGTTTTTTAAGGTTGACACTAAACAATCAACACTTTTCTATAAGGATGTTAAAATTCAAGGCCTTTTCAAGCCTGTAAGAATGTTGAATGAAGCTGAGTATATTTCAAGATGATCAAAGTCATACTTTCTATTTCCAGAAGTTACTGTCAGTGTGTAATTTATTATCATTTCAAGATGATCAAAGCTAATACTTTCTATCAAAAGCATTAAATTATTAAATCTCAGTGTTAATCAACAGACCCTTGTTTCGACACAATCTAGGTGAGGTTAGGTGAAATGTGGATTAATGTTGTGTCCAAGATTGTTGCACTTATATAGCGATGTGTGCGCGTGTGTCTGTACTAGTCCGGACTAATGTTGATTTCACAGTGCTTACCAAATGAGATACCATGCCACAGTTAAACACAAACACCAAACTCAGACACAGTATACTGACTCCGAGCTGACCAGTTCTTGTTTTAGCCCCTTAATGCCAAGCGCCAGGTAGGGTGCCAAAAAGTACAATCTTTTAACGTCTTATGTTATGACGCGACCTGGGAGAGAACCCCAGACCTTCCGCTCTACCACGGAGGTGGTCTCTCAATGTAGGACTTCATGTTGTAAACAAAACAAAGGCAACATGATGGCCAGTGAGTGAGCAGGGTGAAAAGTGTTTCAGATGTATCACACTGCATAATCATAATAGGGGATAAACACCTACAGCATGTAGACAACATGGTAGAGTTGACGAATGTAGACATTTACCACTTTTGTGAATCCACATCAATGAGTTTGATTGTAAAAGCCCCAAGTTTTATAACTGTGTCTTGCACATGAGAGTCAAACCGCTGATACCACAAAGGGATAAAAATGTGTCCCTCTTAAAATCTGCTCTTTGGATTCTACATAATTATAACATGCAGACGAGAAGTAGTATTTGTTCTGTTGAACTTACCCTGGTGACCCCATCTTCACTGTTCTCTTCCTGCTCTTTGTCTGGAGTACAGGAGTACCGAAGTGTTCCGGATGCGATAGCGGTAGGTTATCCAAGGTCTGCAAATAGGCAACAGCAGTGTCAGTAAATAAGGAATGTCATGAGGTCCTTGAGGGTTCCCGTCATGTTTGTAGAATCGTCAGACACCAAAATGTGTACATGTTTTGGTCATATCCCTCCTCCAACAGCCCACATTCTTTCTTTTTATTAAAACACATAAGAACTGGTGACCTGTCAAATGTATGTCAACTGAACAACAGGATAAACAGTGATATCTCAGACTTCTTCTCTCCATAACTTAATAGAATGCATCAAACATCATTCAAAAATAAATTTCTTAACTCACCTCACTCTCAATGAAGTGTTTCTCGCCTTTCAAACACAACTGTGTTCTTCGTAATGTCTTTTCATCTCCATCATCAAACACTGAAATGCAAGGCTTGAAGGTAAGTATAAAGTTTAGTTAAGCTTTTCAAACAAGCATGACATATTCAAATAATTGTGACCAACCATTAGCCAAAGAAAGCTTTACTTACCCACTGTGTACATGCTCTGGTCTGTCAGCTTACTGATAACACCCTCCATCACCTGGCTGGTTTCTGGGTGTTTAATCTCTACACTGACTCCAACCTGAAATGGCAAAACAACTAATGACCATTTGAAGGAGGACAACAATTCAAATATCAAAATATTAGATCAGTGTTTGAAATAAGCGTCTGTAAGGGTCCTTATGGCCTGCAAAAACATCTATGTGTTCATTTATTTGTCACAGTAAGCTGCAGCTTTTTGTAAATGAGTCCTGAAGAATTTAGTCAGGGCCTAGAGCTCCTAAAATATGTGGGTTCTGATGGCAGTCTGTCATTTTTATATATTTCAAACACGTTATTATGAGATTATCATTAATTACTTTAACAGTTGTAAACAAAGAAACCAAGTTCTCCTGGACTTAAGGATATATACCAGCCACATCAGTACCATGAAACATAATGCTTCCACACTCACCAAAAGGCAAAAATGTTATTTTCAAATAAAGAAATGCCATTGTACAAGTATCAGGCAATGACATCAACTAATTCTATTTTTGATCATGATGAAATGAAATGACTGCAGATGTGCATATGTGACACTTTGGAGGTGGACGCCTTTTGTAGAACTCGAAGGCTAATTATTAGTTATGACCGGGTGAATGATCTTCCACTAGAGTCAGTAATATTCCAGCCCTAGCATGGTGGCATGTAATATCTTAAGACTGTATGAAGGACTGGGTTTAAGGTATGTAGTATGTTTCATTAAATGAGTACTATACCTTCAGTGTGCCTTTGACATTGTCATCTGTAACAAGCACCGATGTCTGGGTCTCTTTCAGAATCACCTGTAGAGAGAGATGTTGAAGAGAGAAAATTCTTGAATTAGTACACATGACAGTACCAATACCTCTAATTGGCTTCATGAAGCTTGCACCTCATTAGCTTATATTACTAAATCAGAGGGATGAGATAACTACCGTCTCACTTCTTCTTGGTGACATTATATCATAAACACACATTTGAGCTACACATAACTACATATGTATATATACTTTGACATATGACATTGTAATGTCTACATTTTTACCTTGCATTTCACTGTGCGAACAATTTTCTTCACTTTGGCTTCACAGAAAGCACCTCGATATTTTGCACTGACATCAGTCCCAACAGGGAGGTAGGGGGGTTCATTCCCCGCCTGAAAGAAAAAGGAATTTCTGATATGGCATCTTGTATGTTTAGAAGAGAAAAGAATAAAGCCAATGAACATAACATAAGTTTATGTGGTTGTTGATGTTAGGATTTTCAAAAAAGGTACCATGGTGATTAGATGTTGTTTACTTCGTCACACTGTAAAACACAAAATAGGGGGGCACTATAATCTTCATCTTAAGATGAATAGTTCATCTATCAGCTTTCAATCATTTTTTTTCGAAGAGGGTGTCTATGATTTCCGTACGTAACATGTTAGTGGGATACAGAAACAAGTCGTTTCTGGAATAGCATAAATACATAGTTGTGACATATACTCCATTCGGGTATGGGAGAGCTGTCAAAACAAGTGAGGCCATGTTTGGATGCGTCATGATGGCTGCCATTCCAACACGAGTCGAAAACAGCTGGCTTTCAGCCAAATCAATATTCTGAAAGTGTTGCTTGACAAATGCACTTGGATAAAGAAATGTGCCCGTAGATGCCAAACGAACCTCTTAAAGGTAGTGCGGAATGCGAAAGAAGCAAATTTGAACGTAACATCACCTTCATCAACCTCAAATCATGCTTAGATGTCATTGCTTATGTTGCATTTAACGTCAGAAAAAATGACCTAGCGGTTTGTCAATCTGATTTCAAGTCTCCCCATAACAGCAAATTAAATTTAGACCAAATAATACTGTTAGTTAATACTCCTCTAAACATCCGTTGGTTATTTTACATTTGTGTACAATTTAGTTTTGTTGGAATTAAGAAACACATTCAACGAAATCTGACTGATACTGGCATTGAATGACTCCAAAACATGGTCAGCAGAATCAAGGCGTTCGTTAGAGAATGAAATGCAAAATTATCACACTACGTACCATTGTCAGATTGTCACCGATGAAACTTGACAGCAATCGGAGACAATTTTTGGATAAAACTCAGGTGATGATCGTTGAAAACATGAAATATTTGATCAACAAGTTCGGGACGGTCGACAGAGAACCACGATGAGAACAACAACTTGTCATGGAAAGTCCTCGATGCTGATTGGTTAACCGGTCCGTGAATGCGGAATGTGTCTCGAGATTGCGCGTTGCGCCTGCGCACTAGATATGAAAATGGCAGCCTTTGGTGATTTGAGAAAATGGGAAGTCACTGGTTATTTTATCCATTATGTCTTAAATCAGGATTTTGCCACTGGAATAACCACGAACATTCATAGGAGAGGGTTTAAAGTATGTTCATCTGTGGTCAAAACACATGCTAGATATATGTGAGTGTAGTATTTTGTATTATAATGTAGTACGTGTGGGTTGAGAATGCCAATTTCCATCCGGGTACTGTGTGACCCCGAGGTCATGTTGACAGGTGGCGCTTTGCACCATGTGCCGGGAGCCCACGTGATTTTCTCCAGCTGACACTGCAAAAGGGTATGAAATTTAACCGAACAGAATGTTGTTGATTATATAATTGTATACATTAACTTGTCACAATCAAGTCTGAAGATTCAACACAAATGTTTGAAAGAAATCACATCATGTATGTTGCTCCTCCTAGATGTATATATGGAAGTCTATCATTTATTTTTTATTTGGGTGGGTGTGAAATAATCAAATTGAGGCCTGTAATGTAAACACATCTTTCTGTTAAAGGTTGATGTGGTAACATTATTGTACTCCACAGAGTGGATGTAGTGTATTGTTGCACTGCATGATGATTGCAATAACTAGATTTTGCAACAATATAGTCATAATAGTTTATGGGACAGTACGTTTCAATGGTTCTGGGGACGGTCGGGTAGCCTATAGTGGTTAAAGCGTTCGCTCGTCAGGTTTGATTCCCGACATGGGTACAATGTGTGAAGCCCATTTCTGGTGTCCCTCGCCGTGATATTGCTGGAATATTGCTAAAAACGGTGTAAAACCATACTCACTCACTCAATGGTTCTGTGTTTTATCAGAGACCATGTAATATCTATTATATGGTCTCTGGTTTTATATCAGGCATGAAACAATTTCTGAGTGAGACATCAAATGCCTGATTCCATATTCTCAAACCAAAACCATAGAGATCAGCACTGCGAAGCCAACAACATAAGCCCTGTGCAGAGTAAACTGGCTTCAGTCATCTTTTCTATTTGAGGCAAACTGAAGAGTAAGCTCATGTGTTTTTCTTACGGGTGAGTTACAAAATATACTAATGGCCAGCTTGATTAGATCTAGAAGCCAGTGTTTATTAGAGCCTAGATTACATATGCCTTGGTCATGTGAAACCAATCTCCCTCCAAACAGAATTCGACCCATGAAGATTCTGGGGTAGAATAGGTCTTCAGCAACCCATGCTTGCTGTAAAATGTGTCTATGCTAGTCGTAAAAGGCGACTAACGGGATTGGGTGGTCAGGCTCGCTGACTTGTTTGATGCATGTCATCGACAGAGCTCCAGATAAGCTTTTGGTGTTGTAGGTATTTTACCCTTGCATTTAAAAATCATTGGGTATCAGTAATTCTATCTGGTTATTCAAATTTCTGTTACCCTCTAGCTTTTACACATGTGGGTATTTAAGTTAAATATTTAAAAACACTATTCATCTAGTCCCTGCAAACTGGTGTCGTGTGGGCTCGAGAGCTTTATAGGACTCAAAAATACCATGATACCTCCACAAGAAAGTTTGATGGTAAATGATCATGATGTAACTGTCATCGTGGAGTTTGGCAAGGTTGGCGGAATGTTCGTATATAATTTCAAAATAAGTTGCAATATTTTGATGATACGCATAAGTTTTATTTTTGTAGCGTATCTGTAATGTTCGTTGCGTATTTGATACGCTTGAATATTATTTCACTGCGTATTTCTGCATTTCTGAGCTTATCTGGAGCTCTGCATCGATCCCAATTGCATGGAACGGTGATCATGATATTTATAATCACTGGATAGTCTGGTCCAGACTTGATTATGTACAGACAACCGTCATATAGCTGGAATATTGCCGAGTGCAGCATTTAAAAAAACAACCAACCAAGCAGAGTTCCTTGGAGCCAGCCAGCGTCCTTTGTCACATCGTCAAATCTTACACAGTCCATTCATGTGTTTTTAATCTGTTGCCTTTTGAACAAGTCTACAAACTTAGATAAACTTTCAATGAGAAAATATCCTAGAACGTGAAAAACTATTTTCATTTGCATACTTATCCTCCACATGCTGTCATCAAAGACCTTTGGTCTACGGAGAGCTAGCTAAAATAGTCACATTGATGTGTAAAGGTAAATTGTCATTCACCTCACTGTCGCAGTTGTAGTATATCTATGTAATTATGAAAATCAGTGTGTAAAGTGCACCTAAAGCTTGCATCAGGCCTATCTGTTCTTGTTTCAGAATAAGTGTGTTTGTTTGTCACAGGATAAGCTGACATCCACAGTGTGGTCACTGGAGCAGGCAAATTCTCTCATGGAATAAGGCACGCAGGGCAGAGTAAGCTTGGGGTTAAAGCTTCAGAACAGTTGACATCCTGTGCCTTTAACACATTGTGTATGCTCCTAATTACCAGAACCCCGCTCCACAAAGCGATCTTTTTTTTACAACTATCTCATGTCTATGTTCAAGTATACGAACACCTTCATTAGCGCTGCAGTCTCTTTGTGGGACAGGTCCCAAAGCATTAAATAACCCATGCTCTGCGTATGGCCATTCCTCTTCATACCTCAAAAAAGGCGCCTGACGCTCGTCTTTGAGGGGCTAAAACAAGGATGGGTTGTCTCTGAGTCAGTATACTTTGTCTGATTGGGGTGTTCATGTTAAGCTGCGGCATGGTATCTCATTGGGCTAGCTCTGTAAAAACAGTCTTAAGACTTGTACAAACAGCCACACACACTCGTGCATGCACATCGCGATATATGTGACGTAAAACTCCATCTCATGTGACCTATGATAAGGCTTTTCTTAGCAAGTGGAAATTACTTACAGGAAAACTATGCACAAGAGAATGGCAGAAATCCTAGCTATGTGTTCTTGGCAAGCGATTTGGCTGAAACATTGTCTATTTTGTTCAGATTGGTCTGTGAAATACAAGTCACTTGTAAAAAGCCATAACATTGGTTAATACTATATGAAAGGCAAAAGAAATTCTATTTTCTGACTTTTACTGATATTTTCTGCAGACTTGGAGCCAAATATCTTTCTCTGAGCAGTCTAGATAGATCCCTGGAAAGGTAGCCGCTTCTCATCTTCATGCAGACATTGTACACATGCAGACATTGTACACATGCAGTTTGTGCCATATATGAAGACCATGGTGGACGTGAGTATGGTCACATTCACAATAGTTTTGTTTATCAAGACAGAAAGGAAATCATGCTAGAAGCATAGCAAGGTGCTCATCGTATTTGAACAGGCACACAAAAGTCAAGTCTTGGACTTGTGATACCTTTGCTTGATTCAATCATTCCATAGTGTGCAGCAACCCATGTGTGTTGTAAGAAGCGACTGACAGGATTGGGTGTTCAGACTCGCCATCTTGGTTGATGCATGTCATCGTATCATCGATACCAATTGCATCGATAAATGCTCATAATGTTTGTTTGTACTTAATATTCCAGCTTTATGGCAGCGGTCTTCAAACAGCAAAAGATGATCATACCAAAAGTTATGAGTGGAAATAATGACAGAAACTTATACATGTAATAGTGATAGTTGACATGATTCCGAGCCAATGAATGCAAATAAAGACATGGAGAAACCGTTCGTGTCAGTGACATTCAAAATTAAATCATAATTGGTTGCTTTTAAAACAAAATTAAACAAAGGATGGCAAATGAAGTATGTGTGTGCAATATACTAGGCTGCAACGATACAGAAAGGTCACGATACGATACGCATCTCGATATTCTGGTCACGATACGATACGCAATGATACAAAACAGGACTTAAAGCATGTCAAGATTGAACCTTTCATGATTTTGGAACAGTCAACATTATTTTATAATAACAAGACTACTGAAGTTGTTAAGCTTCAAAGTGGAACTTTCTCTAACTTTCCTTCAAAACGATTCAAAGTTCAAACACCAGAAAATAATTAATGTACTTCACCAGTTATACAACTTCAAAGAATTTGTATGCAATGGTCGAAGAAATTGTATCTGAAATTATTGTTTTATCAGGAATAATATATTCCAATTTCGTGTTACTTTAGTTGCAGCTTTTACTCTATATGTATTTAAAATTATAAAAACCACAAGCGTAGCATTTTGGTACTGGTGATTGCTGTTGCAGGATATTTTTACGTATGGAACAATTTGACCAGTCACCGTAGGGACTTCCCCACAACAGGTATTTCAATTGTGAAAATGTTATGTTGAAATATATTAGCCAAATTGCCACAAATATGACTTTTAACGAGTCAAAGTATGTCATTTTTAATATATGTATCCATTCTTTAGCAACTAAAAATCGTTTCAATGCGTCAAAAGCGGTTATCTGACCGTGGTTGCTGTATCTCTTCACACACGATTTCACCTAACTTAATGAAAACAATATTAAATGAAAGTTTGAATAAAATTAATAAAATATATTACAAACACATGTCCAGATATACAATGAACACGTTTTAATAACAAGATAGTATAATGATGGTATTGAATTGTGTACTTCAGTTCGGTTTTGCTGACTGGTATTTCCGGTGTTATGTGCTTGCGGTGATCAGCTGATAATGTTTTTTGAGATGTGGAAAAAAACATCTGTTAGTGTAAAACCTGAGCTTATTAAAAATGTAAGTACGTTTTGGGGAGCCATGCGTTACCGTGTGCTATAACCAAGTTAGCGGTTGATTGAAAGGCACAATTTCGAGGAATAGCTGTACTTGAGATTTGCGTTCCGTATCGTGGTGTATCGATAAATGGGCCCACGTTTATCGTATATCGTACCGTGGGTCAAGTATCGCGATGCATCGGAATATCGGTGTATTTCACCCTTACAATATACAATTCCAAGACTAATGCTATGACTTGTACATATTATCATGGGAATTTGATTAAAATGTTTTTAAACGTAATTCTAATTGTTTTTGGCTACATAGGCCTGACTTTTTGATATCGCCAGTGGCCACCTTGAAAAATGTATTTGTAGCTAATGCTGGGGTGATAGGGATGGTTATAATTACGAATGTACAATTACATAACTTTTAGCAAACAAAAGAGACATTTTACCTAATTTTAGATTGGATCTGTCCAATATGGACATGGCTATCGTCTGAAAACCTTCTGCAGTTTGTCTCAGAAACTATTTGGTGAAATGTTCTATATTTTTGTGTATTCAATCTTGACCAGAATATGTTTGGTGAGATGTACAATAATGTTGTGTAGGCAGTCTTTACCAGAAGATGTTTGTTGAGATGTACAATAATGTTGTGTAGGCAGTCTTTACCAGAAGATGTTTGTTGAGAATTACAATATTATTGTGTGTTCAATTTTGACCAGAATATGTTTGGTTAACTGGACAATATTGTGTATTCAATCTTTACCAGAAGATGTTTGTTGAGATTTACAATAATATTGTGTGTTCAATCTTTACCAGAAGATGTTTGTTGAGATTTACGATGATGTTGTGTCGGCAGTCTTGACCAGAAGGTGTTTAGATAAGAATAAGAAGTTCAGTCCTGCTTGCAGTCTTTTTGATTGCCTAAGATGTTTTCCACAAAGCTACATTTTTGTTTGATGCAAAGATATGTTATACTAGATTTCTTCCAGGCATTCTGTACAAAACATTCACTCACTCACACAGATCTTGATACTCAATGCATAAGACCGCCCCTTGGTCTAGTGGATAGTGTAACTGCAGGGAGAGCGGCAAGTCGGCAGTGTGATCATACCAAAACATTTTTGTTCAAAGATGGTATTTTTTATTACCCTGCCTGGCGCTCGGCATAGGGCATAAAACACTGACTGGTTGGTTCAGAGTCAGTATAGTGGGGTATCCACGTTTGTTAAACTGCACTGTGGTATGTCAGTGGCCGAGCACTATGGCATAGGTACGGACTTGGGGAGAAAAGCACACAGAGATGCACATGCTGTATAAGTGCAATAATGTTGACCCATTTTATGCACGTAAAGCACTCCCAACTCTTGTGGGCAGTTGCCTGCAGTAGCTTGTTCTGCTAGTTCATTAAGTGTGTGTTCAAGCCCACAGGGCGCTAGATACTCTCTTGAGTCATTTGGTAGTTACTGTCAATGTCATGTTATCAATCCCATTGCGTAGTGCGAATTTTTCCAATATATTGATACACAATCTAACTGTTGTAATATATGCATTAATTTTAGTTCCATAGGGTATTTATAGTGTTTGTTGTGTATACACTAGGATTTGAACTGTCTGCATATTTCAGGGGGTGGTCGGGTAGCCTAGTGGTTCAAACCTTCACTCGTAATGCTGAAGACCCAGGTTCGATTCCCAGCATGGGTACAATGTGTAAAGCCCATTTCTGGTGTCCCCTGCCTTGATGTTGCTGGAATATTGCTAAAAGTGGCATAATACCATACTCACTCGCTCACTCACTCACTCATTCTGCACATTTCAGTTTATTAAACTGTATATTTTATGCAATTATGCAGTGTATCAAAAGCTCTGAAGTAAGACAGCATCCTCTTTATGCATTATTCATGGCTGTGGAGTTCATGTATGTATGGCGTGTCAACGTACCATGATGTCGTGGATCATTACACATATCAATCACTGAATTGGCTGGTCCAGATTCAATTGTTTACAGACCACCATCAGATATGTGGAATGTTGCTGACTTACATTGTTAAACAACGAACACACATGCAGTTGTGTTTGCATGTACTCTTACATCTTCCTGAGACAAGGGAGTTAACTGACTATAGAAGTCCAGTTTCCACCCTTGACACACATGCTTGATGCAATAGGCTGGAATTCCTGAGTTAGATTTTAGCTGGCCTAACAAGTCCATGCTTAGTCAAATCAATATGGCATAAGGAAATCATAATCCGTTTCGTAAACAACATGGCAATTGTCATGCAGATTTTGGTCAATTTTTGGTCAAGTTTTTAATCGACAAGCTCAGGTGTCTGAGTAATGCACTTTGCGAGGTAAAACCCATCTTATTACAACATGTACAATATAGACCTTGATTATTGATCAGATCGTCTTTACAAGGCACCACCATTTTGTTTGAAGAAAATGCATGTGATATGTGATGTGGAATCTGATTGTTCAATGGGAGGGACTTAAAACTTGTAATGGCTACTGATTGCGCAATGTTTGAGCCATGAAATTCCAATCTAGTTTGGCAATGGTGCATACTGGTCTCCTTAGACAGGTAATGCCCTTGTCTGGGGAAGATGGTACCAAATCTGACCAAATGTCATGTTGGTGCTACATCTATAAATGGTCTGTGTCATCTTTAAGATTATTGTGATACATAATGATGGTTGTACATTTAAGTCCACATATCAAGGGCAAGGAGGTAACTCAGGTTAAATTATGAAACGATTTACACTACTGTTCATTGGCTGAACAATTTGACGAAATATTAATGTCCAATCGAGGATCAAATGTTAGTTTATTAATTTTATTTTATTTAAACTTTGTTAAACGGGGAGTAATCTCAAACTTACTTTGCCTTTTGTTTTTTCATTTGGCCATGCCTGGAAGCATCCTTTGAGATTCATGGAAGAGGAAGAAGAAGTTAATGAAGGCATTGTGAGGGGGTGTAGTTCTGTTTATGAACATGGGAACTCACTCAAGCACTCTGCCAGCTTTATTACATCTGCTGCTTCTGTGACGATCCCCACCAACATCTGAGAGGTGTTTGAATGTGAGAATGTGTACCACTATTATTCCTCTATTTCAATGTCACTAAAATGATTGTGTGGCACAGTTAGCGCAGTCACCCAGTGCTGCAATTTGCTGTGCAGGGTTGTGTCCCTTTTCCATGCCAGAATCCTATGGTCATGGATTAGAATCCCCATTTTGTCCTGATTTAAAGGGTTTACCAAATATACGTTAGTTGGTGTTTTTTTTCTAATTTAAGATGACATAAACATGTAATGGCCACTGATTGCGCAATGTTCGGGCCATGACATTCCAGCCCAGTTCGGCAACAGTGCAAACTGGACTTCTATAGTCAAGTTAGGGAATTAGTTAGTTATAGTCAAGTTAATGCCCTTGCCTAGGGAAAAAGATGGTACCTTTACAAATCTGACCAAACATAGTGTTACTGATACATCTATAAATGGTGTGTGTCATCTTTGACATGGTTGTATCGGCATGATCTGTAATTGTCAGTTACTGTTGCACTGTTACTTGTACAACCCTTAAACTTGTAAACTGCTGGTTCTTCAGAAGTTGACCTGATCATGTTCAAGATATACACGGTTTTGGTACTGGAAGTACATGGTGATATTTAACACTTTAGAAGCTTGGAGGAAATGGCTATGAAAGGACTGTTTTTCTTAATGTAGGAGAAAAGCACCATTTTGTCCTGATCTCAAGGGTTTACCAAATATGTCACAGGCCTGCATTATGTGGTGTCATGTCATGATATAACTGAATATTTTTCAAAGCTCTGCATCCAACACAACTAATAGATAGAGCATCTGGAGTGTGGAAGGTCACAGACACTGGTTTGATGCCCAGGCCGTGTCATACCAAAAGAGATGGTACTAGTTACTAGGGATGGGTATTCAAGGTTTAAAGTGTATCACAATATTTTGCAATGCACAAGTACGTATTGCGATACATATGACGATATGTTGTATAATTCTAAATTTTTAAATCAGAAGCAATCTGATACATTAAGGTGTGAACTGAAGTCATTAATGAAACAAATCAAGATGCTGGTACAACATGATGTTTTACTCATTCAAAATATACGCAGCCATCTTGGTGCTTCAGGATGCTCGCTCCTGGGCAGCGAATGCATTTGGCAAGTACATAACATTAAACACATGATAAAAATCCCAATTTGAAATCGCCCAATATATCAAACATGAAAAAATGAAATTGTGACTTATCCTGGAAAGAATGAACCTCAATTTACCGATATACCGGTAATACTTCACGCCCTTACTAGTAACGCCGTCTGGAATTCAGCATTAAGGGGATAAAACCAGGACTGGTCAGCTTGGAGTCGGCTTGGTATCTCAGTTGGTTTGCATTGTAAACCGACATTCGGACATGTACAGGCAGCTGCACGCACATGCATGTTCGTCATAATCATCTTGAACGCGACGTTATACCTCATTTTACCTCGCCCCACCTCACTCACCCACCCAATTAAGCTGCCAGGCTGATAAGTCACTGAAGTACTGTTCAACCAAACTCGCCCACTCACTGTTGGGCTTTCTTCCAACATCAGGGTGACATGTTGTGGCATACATTATGACTGAAATACTGTTCAATGCATTGAGCGTTTCACACACACACCATCAACCACTGGTTTGTTTTTTTACAGACCGCAATGATTTAGTTGTGATATTTCTGACTAGCAGCAATATGCTTTGACCTTTGCTTGTGGCCATTCATCAAAGGTACTTGCAGAGTTCTGTCCCTTGCTTTTGCCAGAGTCCAACCATCTGTTCAAATCAGGGATTTTCCCTGGTTATGGTACTTTGTTTATGCTCCTGGGTTCCAATGAAGTGGTAAATTCAAATTTAAAGACAACGTAATACAAATTTACAAATGATCAGTTTATTCATTTTATGTCATTCATATATTTATGTATGTATATAACAGGTGAAACAAGAATAAAATTTGTCTGAAGCAGATACCTGTGAGAAGAATTAAGACCTGTATGATGAGGGAGCGGGCTGAGAAACAAAAAGAAGCATGAAAGGCTCCGATAGTTTTATTATGTACAGAAAATTCCAACTTCAGTGGAGACTTCACCGACAAGATTGAGTAAAAGTGGCCAAAACACCAACCAGCTTGTTACAAAAATTATGTTTCCATTAAGGGTGTTGCTTATCAAATTTGTACATTTGATACTTTAAAATAAACAATTGACCACACCAAAATATGCAAATCCACGATATATACATAGAGAAAGTTTGCGTCTTATATTGTGGATGTAAATGTAGAAGTGATTGTAGCAGAAAAAACCTGGGCATTTACTCCTGGTTACCATGTTTTGAAAGTGGAGATATGTTCATATATACTGGAAAGTAGAGGAGGCGGCTCTTCTCTGGGGTCAGCAACATATAAAATAAGAATGATACCCTAAACAATATTGCGTTACATCACATCACATCAACTGATCAGGCTACAGCAAACATACCAAGACACTTTTTTACTACACCTGGTTTTAGATTTCTCCCAAAATCAAAGGTTACCTTTCTTCCTCATGTAAATTGTTTTCAACATTTGATGGGTTGACCAAGTAAATTTGGAAAAAACAACCAAACAATACAGCTTAATATTAGCAAGAAGTCAAGGCAAGGCTATAGTTTCTTCTGCCATCAGTTTCCTCTCTGGAAACACTATTGTGTAATAATGTCCACCCCAAGTTGAGTATACTCCCACTAGGGACTTCCAACTAGGCTAATGTAGCTTACCATGGATTTCATTTCTAAACTCCTGACATATCACACCATTTTATCTACTGATACAAAAACTATGCAGTCTTGTCACATGCCAGAGTTGTCTCCCTTGATGGGCACACTTGCACAAAGTGATGGTAGCTGCATCTATTGTAACAACTAAACTTTGACCTATGATATAGTCGAAGCGCACAATTCTATTTTGCAAGGGTGGACCTTGGACACAACTTATGAAGTAATCTAATCACTTTGACCATTGTCGTTTTTTGTTGAAGTTTATTTGAATATTACTTTTCTCTTTAAGAATAATCTAGAAAACTAAAAGATTAGTATCAATAACCTAGGGAGAGAAATTCCTCACCTATTGTGAAAGTTTCACTGAAGTTACAACTGAAGCTGCAACTAGCACAAGAAATGAATATGATGTGTATGCTATAGATGGTCTTAAAACAGCTTTTGCATAAACTAAAACTGGACAAACAAACAGATTACGAAGGAATGAATATGTATTCTCAACAAGACAATAATCACCTAGACCTTGTTCAACAAAGCAACCTTAGTCCTACATTCATCACAAGACCATGCCGAGCTCCAAGACAGCTCAGTGGATTGGAGTCCAGGTGACCTGCCACAATGCAAGCTTGGAGCATCATCAAACATACATTGAGGAATAGAAGTCCCACATCATGTCATCTACACATTATACATACTGACATTTATCATGCAATGCTCCATAGTGCCATCTGACATTTCGACAAGCTTCATTAAGTGATCTTACATTTGTCCAGGGCATTTTCAATCAATGTCCCAATAAAGGTCTTTAAAAGGATCTCAAATTTCTCCTATGTTCTATAAAATGGTTTTACAGTTGGCCTGGTCATGATCTGAATGTTGTAGTCTAAGATTGCTGATCGTCCAGGAGGTATTTCCATTGCACATCATTATATATACATCTAGCTACCTCTTGAACATAGCAAATACAAGTGAAAAATTAATGGATTTGTAGGATCTTCAAATTGGTCATACAAAGTCACATCCCAATAAAGTTGGGAGTGCTATTCTAGCTACATGGCTGAAGCCTATGTTTGTCAGCACCATACCCATGCTTGTGGGTTTACAAAATTTGTAAATGTCGTACACCTAGGACCTGCTTCGCATCAGCTTTCCTCCCACATAATAGCGGAGAGCTGTGATCAAACTGAAATACTGTTAAAGCAGCTTTGATCCCAACTCACTCGCTGCATCCTGTAAGTATAGCATGAGAAGGTCCCACGCAAACAATGACATACAAAGTCACACATTGATCCCCCATGTTAATTGGCTGTTCAACACGCACGAGGTACTTGGGACTGGGGGAACCTCTGCAGGTTACAAGATTAGGTGTATCCCATGGAGGAGGGATATGTATCATTCCTCCTGTACACGGCCACATGGGGTACATTACTGAATGGATAACATTCAAATGTAAGACGGGAATAAAATAGACTGGTAAAAGCTTCACCATTCGTCACAGAGCTGTATTCGAAATATTAAGCATCTGTCTTCACGTTTTGTGAGCAAGTTAAAATTTAACGCTTTATCTACATTGTTTCTGCGGTACAGTGAATCCCCCACATTTGGAAAAACAATGTTAAGTCCTCATTTGTTATTTCTATTCAATTACTAAAATTTCACCTATGCATGGATGTTGAGTTGCTTAGAGATTGAGATCCAAGAAAGTGTTACACCAATAATCTGCCCTGAATACCAGTAAACACTGTGGTTGTCAAACTTGTGTACCTGTATAGGAGGAAAAGCACTTCCAGAGGTTCCATGTTCCTTTTCCACTCTATGAGATCCCTTTCAAACCCAAACTTCTGACAATACATCTCAATGGTGAAACTGTATATTCCCAATTGTAATACTTAGATCTCCATTGTAAGCTTTGTTACATTCATGATACAACATATCTCAGGCACAATACAATGTGTAATGTATCTCAAAGATACTTTGAGTTAACAATTCTGTGGAAGACATTGTACAACAGTTCTGCTGCCACAGGCTATGTACAGACAACACCAACCCACACTGATTGTTTGCATAACATGTCCATGTTTAGGCATTTGATCTTATTTACTTGGTTTACCTATCTGCCAACTCAAAATTTCACATGTGAGGATCGGTTCTTTTTTTCCCTCAGTTGATTAACAAATGCCTGTAACACAAATATTTTCAAAGTACCCAACAAGTCAATATAGCAATCTTTTGATTTTTCACTAAAAAGCCAGCTTTCTAAATAAAATCCTTTTTTCTCTTTATTTTTTATCGCCTTCACCGAACCTGGGTTTGGGTTTGATCTGTAAGCCAAGTGATATAAAAACAAGGCCCACTATGTCCTCTTCAGGAGACAAGTCAAGAACTGGCCATGGTTCTAACTTTCAGGTTTTAATTTGTTAAGAAATCTTTTGACAAGCCTACACTTCACTTTGCAAATGTAAAACAAATTATATATTTTTCTTTAAAAGTGTGCTTTAAATCCACAATGACTTTCTTAATTCTGCCCCAGCCTCTGCATATATTGACGAAACAAAAACCTTACATTGGTCAGACCTTATATTTTACACCTTCAAAAATGATTATACAGATATTTATTTATCGAGTTCCTCTCATTCAAGGATAATTAAATTATGAAAACTGCTTCATAATTTAATAATATTGCAAGAGAACTGGCTGTTAGCACAGCCTTAACCCTGACAGACACCCTGAAATATCCTGCTAGAGTGAATTAGACAACCATATTTATAAGTAATTATCAAACCAGCACTCATCCAATAAGCAGAACACAGCTGGGAATAAATCCTTCATTTGCTGAAGTATTTCCTCAAAGAAACCAAATTCAGTATCACAAAGTGTTCCAGTTTTAACGCCATGCAATTATATGACCTGCATAAAAGTTTCACAAACTTCAATTTTGAGTATTTATCATGTCATAAGTAATATATCTGCAACAAATAGAGTGCCAAGACCATTATCCCAACTTGAATTAGTTGTATGTGTATCTGTCAAGCTCCTCACAGTGATAGCCCATTCACGGAGCTCTCTATACTATCACTGCCATAAGTCAAAGCTCCCCACTGTGATAGGTGACCACAACCATGCTTGGGGTTGAACTAGCAACGGACTGACTGTTATGTTTACAAACAAGTGATGACTGTTGTGACACCGAGAACTCTTGCTCCAGCTAAATGCCTTTATTTGTTTCTCAGTTTGAATTTCTATTTCAACGAGCATGTACTTGGTATAGTATGAATGTAAGGGAAAAGTTAGGTGATTTTTCGTCAGTCTGCAATCTCGAACCAATCTGATTATGCAAACGAAAAGATAAATTCCCCTTTCAAATGTCAGTCATAAACCTTTTCTAATTTTACAGATGGCATTCACAAAGACGTAAAAAATTATAAATGTTACTACATTTTCGTGTTTTAGGGCAAATTTCAAGAATCTTGTAATGGCTGCACCCACACTGGTGGCAGCAATGTTACAGAGAGTGTAATGAAGGTATCACACGCTGTGAAGGAGCTTGTGTATCTTTTGCAAAAGGGAGATAGCTCAATCTTCTCGTCATGTCCTTCATTACAACTCCTCACATTACTGGCAGTGCCTATCTCTTTAGTTATTGATATGACTGTAAACTTCATACCAATGGTGTCATTTCTTGTGCACTTCGTAACCAAACATATTCTTCCTAAAGCAGTTCAGAGAAACAAAAGAAAAACCATGAAAAAACAGTTGGACAAAAGACCCAAGAAACATGGCCTCTGGGTAAATTCAGTGTGATGATTACTAAATGAGATGCCACAAGTGTTTAGTTCAGCCATAATTTGATGTAATACCTTGGATTAATTCATCAATAGTTACATATACAAAATATTTGAAAAGCGTGATATCTAAACTGGCAACAAATGTCACATATCATGTTAAAACTATATTCATGTAAAACAGCATCTTTTCCTTCCTCTTTCAAAACTATCACTCTATTCAAAATTAAAGCTTTCATTTATTGGAAAATTTCTTGTATACAAAAAATAGTGATTTATCCAAAAATAATCCACATGTTTAACTGGTAATACACATATATTACTATCCTGCTAAATTGAAATCATTTTGGAATTAACACGTTTCGTATAGGACAATAACCTATCCTGGATTGTAGGGGAATAGTCAACAATTTACAATTATTTACACTTGTTTCATATTTGCGCCTTACCTCCCTTACAAGGCTGACTAAATATAGACAAGAGCATGTTCTCATATCAGCTGAGTTTTACAATAATTACAGACACATGCATCCTCCAATATGTTGTAACCTACATCATTGTGATTCCATGATATGCAAATAATCCTAATACAGTGTCCTAAATGAAAAACCTTGAAATATATATGCCTGGATTATGTTTCAATAAAAACCAGCAATCATGTTAAATATTAAAGAAAAAAAGTTATTATAAAATAGACATATTTATTTAGCTAGGCACTGTCATTAAGCAACCTAAGTGTTTTTCCCCTATCAAAATATTAGTTGACATCTGCTAAAATTTCTCAAAAGGACTTTAAAAAATATTTCAACCTACCTTGCCCAAGAGAAAACTTCAAAAGAAAATTGATACAATTTTAATTTGCATTTTGACCTCCAGCATTATCAACTATCTCTTAACCAAATAATTTTTAAAAAAGGTTTAAAACTGAACTCATTAATATCAATCAATCTTTTGGTTTTATTCCCTCAAAATGAAGTTATTTCTTCAGCCATATCTACACAATATGTTTCTGTGAACTAATGTAGTTCAATGAGTCAATGATGTTTACATGAATATAAATACACCTAGTAATCATAACACACAATACAATGTACACTTCACCCTGTTCATAGGAGGACTGTTAAACACTGTCAGCCAATATATTATTTATAACCTCTTCGTTAAAGGGTCAAATTCTTAATGAGGCTTGTGCTCTAAGGCATCATTCCATCAAATATTATCATAAAAACCTCCTTATATAACAAAATGAGCATGATCCAACCATACAATCAGGATATAGTATATATTCATCAACATTAAATTCTGTTTAAAATTCAGTGGTACAAGAAAAATGCTGAGGATGAGTAATGATTCCTAGTTGATCCAATCTCCCTGAACTATGCTAGTCATGCTGAACACTCACACCTTAAAGGAATTGACAGTTTATTTCCTGTTATTACAGACATCTTTTTGGTTTTTTGGTTTAGTTTTTTTGGGGGGAGGGGGGACTTTAGTAAGTGAGTTTCAAAACAACCATGACGACATATTTTATTTATTGTATTTTTCCTCCTGACTCCTTATTTTGCCAAGGACATCAGCAAGAAATGAACTTAAACCTGCCTACATTAGATAAAAAAAAGATTTTGAGACAAAGAGAAGCTAAACAAATTCTAAGGGTTTAGCGATGAACTTTAGATATCATGGTAATGTCGGATTGATTTACATTGAGACCTTGATAACTTGGAAGATTTTCCAACATGAAACTAAATAATTACAGATGACGTTGTAATTACATTTAGAGTAAGAGAACTTAGTAATATGAAAAAATTATATCTATATCTCCACAATGGCTGACAAATAATTGAGTGTATCAGCCTTAAAAATCATTTCAGAATTAGTACACTTCCTGAAATTGACCAACCTGTTTTGGAATCTTTGGGAGAATATTCTCCGAGAGAGGAAGCATGTCATTACATCAACGCTAAATTGTACTGATACAACATAACACATGTATCCAGGTAAACTGGAAGAGGGGAGAGAAACATATTTGAAAAATCCTTGAATGTTTTATTTCAAAGTTTAACGTCAAAGCTAGTTTAGCATTGCATTCAATGAAAAACTAACTACTTCACATTTTTGTCCTTATTGGTCCTGTTACCACTAAAAATCATGTCCCCTTTACAGAACAATGCCACTATAACAAACTATGATAGCCTGAATACATATTGGGGACCTTTTTCTTCTCTGCCATGGACCTGCCATCCTGCCGAACACATGTTATTGTTTGACAAACATCAAGATACATTGACAGTTGGGTGATTTCCAGAACCCACAACAATACTGAACTGATGACTACATATGACATGTGAATGTGGTTTACTCAATGATCAGAAGTACCTGCTGAAAATAGTGACAAATAGAAACGAGCAAGCAAAAGCATAGACCCACGACCACATCCATCAGAGTAAAATTTATAAAAACACTGGCAGCTGACATGCATCATTGAAAAATAACAGACTGAACCATGACAACGGAACCAGCACCAACCTGTACATACCTGTCTAAACTGGTTTACACACCTTTGATTTATTTTCTGAGGTCCTACACCTGCTTGATGAGCACTCTTCAAACTTAACACTTCCATTTTGAAACTGAAAACATCCATGTTCATCTCCCATTCTGTAGTTGAAGATTTGATTTTGAATAACGTTTAAAATATGTTTCTTATATGCAGTAGTAAAATACTGTTTGTCCCACCTCGTCAACTTCAAACTGATGTAGATTCATGAGTGTAATGGCAGCACCCAGGCAACAGCTAGTCTACAGCTTTACTACAAGCTAACTTAAGAGCTGGAGGCTGAACATTACTATTAGCTCATTAAGTACTGCAATATGTCTTAATATTTGAGATTTACCTATTTGAAGTTTTTCTTTTAACATATTGCGTATGACTACAGTAGGCATTGAGCACATAAGTATCATTTCTATCAGGCTAATAATAATTATGTCAAGAATTTAGGTACATAACAGGCTCAAAACAGTCAATAATGTTCACCTACAACTGACCACAAGTGACCGAGCAGTCTCATTCTTACATTAAAATATCCATACCGTTTCAGTTCTCATGGCAAAGTTATTGTCAAATAATGACTGGGACTCAACATATGTATAAAAATAATTATCTAAAATCTGCCAATCTACAAGGGGCTAATGTCACCTGACTTCCTCTGCCTCTGGATATGTGGGGAATTTTACTACAGCGATTTCATTCTTCACTTTGTATGATGGGTAAAGGCCTGATTGTCCTGAGCGCCGGTTTACACCTTTGGAAAACCCATCCCAGTGGTTGCCAGCAATGCCCATCAGATCATCCACCTCCATCTTGATCTCGTGTTTATTCTTTGGTTCATGGGTTTCCAGTGCTCGCATGTTATGTGCATTCTGTCCTCCAAAGTAGTAGACATCGTCAAGAGACTTGAACCATGCTGAGGCATCGCCGTGCATTGTCTGCATCACTTCATACGCCACACGACACACCTGTGGAAATTACATTTAAGTTATTAAAAAGGTAGGTATATATATTTTCAAAAACTGCCCTCCTGTTCAGAGTCACTATGCATCTTTATAAACATTTCTATGAAAGAATTTTATTTCTACATTAGTGAGTTAGTGAGTGAGTCACATCATTTTAGGTAGCAATATTCAAGCTTTATTACAGCTGCCTGTAAAAACTTGAGTCAAGACCAGACCACCCAGCCGGTGCCAGTGTTCTGTTTATCGGATGACAGATTGGAAGCCAGATTACTTGATGAGAGTGCTCTGCTTACCTGTGATGAGATAGTGCTCTGCTCACCTGTGATGAGATAGTGTTCTGCTTACCTGTGATGAGATAGTGTTCTGCTTACCCGTGATGAGGTAGTGTTCTGCTTACCTGAGATGAGATAGTGTTCTCCTTACCTGTTATGAGATAGTGTTCTGCTCACCTGTGATGAGATAGTGCACTGCTCACCTGAGATTGGATAGTGTTCTGCTCACCTGAGATGAGATAGTGTTCTGCTTACTTGTGATGAGATAGTGCTCTGCTAACCTGAGATGAGATAGTGTTCTGCTTACCTGTGATGAGAATGTGCAGACCAGGTAGTCACACATCGACAGGAAGTGGATATCAAGGATGACGCCACGTAGAGAACTGTCAGAGTAGCGTGTGCCGAGACTTGCAGTCTTGGAGATGTCATTGTCACTGATGAACTGGTAGGTGGGGTACCTGAAACAAGCCAGTGCTCCATGTTTGTTTGTTGTTGATGCTGCAGTCAGCACCAGTCCAGCTATATCCTTACAGCCTATAAACAATCACCGCCTTCGTAGTCTAAAGGTAGAGTGTCTGCCCGGAAAGACTAAGGTCATGGGTTCGATCCCGGCCGTGTCATACCCAAAGACACTAAAAGATGGTACCTGTTATTACCTTGCCTGGTACTTGGCATTAAGGGCCTAAAACAAAGACTGGTTGGCTAAGAGTCAATATACTGGGTCTGCGGGGGTATTCATGTTAAACAGTGGCATGGTATCTCAGTGTACTAGCATCATAAAAATCGGTATTTGTCTGTCACAGAGCCTGACCTTCTCATCCTATAAGGTCACTGTTTACAACAAGCTAGTGTCCAGGATACCAGTTCTACCCTCGGGTCAGTCAGCCATGTACAATAGAAAGAACTATGATATACCATCATATCATAATGTACATACCTTGCGTTGGAAAAACTTTAAATCAAAATCACTTATTTTGAGCAATCTCATATTTTAATTTGTTAAGCCCTTTAAGTTTTTCATATCTTTAAGACAAGCTATGCATGAGGATCTTTCCACAAATAATCATCAACACATGCAGAGATAAGAAAAAGAAATCCAAAGTGTTGTCATACTTTTCTCTTGCCTCTCGAAGTAGATTTGCATCATCCGTGGCAAGGTATATCCTTCGTTGCTCAACAGGACTCTTTGCCTCCAGACGGTCAAAATATTCATTGACAAATTCCATGTACTCATCAATGCCATGGAAGGCCGCCTCTACACCCACTTTGTCTGTCCTCCGTACATGCACCCTGTAACAGGGGACATAATTTATCATGCTGAGAAGAAAGCTCAGGGAAGGGAGACAACTCTTGATGTTAAGAGCAACTTTGAAAAGTTGTTTCAATTCTAGTGTTCTTTCATTCACACAGTTTTTCAACATGATTACTCATTCATCAACCTCTTAATTAGTATTTTACAAAGACACTGTCCATATTACCCATAAAAATAAAATGCTTCAGATTGCTTGGGAAAACTTGATGTTCTTGCATTTTTTATTAATCTGGATCCCATGGCCCTCTTTATCTTACCTACCTATCAGTATCACAGGTAATAGGTGGCCTGGCCCATGAGAATTCCCAGCAGTCTAAGACTAAAAACATTTGTGATGAATTCTCTATATACGTACCCGACAATAGGGCTCTTAAAATTCAAGGCCTTCTTTGTTCTCTCCATGTCTTCTTTCAGATGTGGCTGAGGACGAGTGAGGTATTTCACAAACTGCCCGATCCACCAGACGGGTGGGTCACCATGCAGACGGAGAAGTCTTGGTGCAAGGTCTTGTGGGATAGCAAGAGGCATGAAGTCAGGTCGTGGATGCATACTGTCGACAATAGGAAGCTCAACTATTTTGGCGTTCTGTATCTGAGTTGCAGCTGTAATGCAAGAAGATGGTCATACACATGCCGTGGATTATTGAGAATATTATCCAAAGAGATTAAGCAAGTTTAAACTACTCATATTTCTGTTATATCATATTTGTTCGCTTTTGTGGTAGGAATGTGACACAGATCCTAGAAATGTTCAACTATATGATGGCAAACCAGTGGTTGATAGCATGATTGAACAACAACAATTCATACCTCTGGGGTACAGTGACAAAGATTCGGACACGTCACTCACTTTGATCGTATGACTCTCATCAGTTGGCTATTATGTTCGTTCAGGTTTAACAACGCACTCCGCAATATTCCAGCTATATATGCTGATGACCCAGGGCTCAAAGCTTAATTTTTATTAGCCACATGGCTACAAGTATTTGTTTCCGGGTAGCCAGTGGTAAAATTAAGAAGTCAAGCCAATAGTGTAGGTAGCCAAAAGCATTTGAAATGATCTTTAATCAAATAACTATGATATGTACATGTCATAGCACTAGTCTTGGAATTGTATATTAGTGGAAACTGTACTTGAGTTTTGTTATTTGTGACTCGAACAATGATGCAATTTATGTCACTAGATTATAAAGGTATATCCTTGCTTATCAAATAAACTATCAGCTAAAATAAAATACTAATTACATTAATATTTATGTATTTCAGTTCATTGTTGACTTTAGGAGATTTGAGTACAATTAGTAGCAGACATGTTTATTTTTGTGTCTACATATGTGTAGCAATAGAATTTAGTTGTCACAAGATATTTTTCCAGGTAGTCATTTGGCTACCTATGAATTTTACACAGTAGACAAATTGAAATTTAGGTGGCATTGGCGACAGTTTTAGTCGCAACTTTGAGGACTGTGACCTGTCAATAATCAAGTGTGGACCAGACAGTCCAGTGATTGATAGTATGAGCAACGATCCATGCCATCAGGGCACGAAAACATGCCATCACCCAAGTCAGTGAGCCTGACCACCTGATCAATTTGGACACCTCTTACAAGAAGCATAGCTTGCTGCTGACCTATCCTACCCCAGAATCCCCACGCGGAGCCGTTATGACTGGTAAGATTTATGTCTGGGGTGGTTTCAAGGTGGTTTGCTACTCACGTCCCCAGTGGTGAGCCTGCTCCCCTGAGCGTGTGTTGCAGGTGTTGCTGAGGGGCTGGAACACCGTCTCCCACCCCTTGGGGGCGTATCTCCAGCTCTTGGACTCAAGCACCAGGGTGCGCTCCGTGGCGTATGCTACGATCAGGCAGTACACAACATGGTGGAGCTGACATCCATAGCCACAACCCTTGTGCAGGTTGCACACGATCTTCTTGGCTGACCCACAGTCTTTGGGGTTCTGAAAATAGGTCAGGTAGATCAGGATTTATGTTTTGTCAACTTATGTTTTCTACATATTTTTTAGATCACACACAAAAATACGAATTACTGCATTCATAAAACTGCCTAGCATAGAAAGTTAATTCCATTTAAGTTACATCTGATTACGGTAGTCCCCATGCACAGTAGGATCAGGGGTGTTTTGTTTGTGTCAAAATTTGTAAACAAAATATCATTTTAGATAAATATAAGGATTTTTTTATTCACTTAGGCCCGATGCATGTATACTGTGGCAGTGATAAAATGAAGAAGAAGAACTGAACATTTTTTTAACATGACCATACTGAATGTTGGCAGTTTCTGGAACAACTTATAACATGGTATTTGATATTTCTAATCAACATGGATTATGGTATACCATATATAACCACAGATAAGCCGACCCCGTAGATAAGCCGAGGTATAAACTTGACCATTGAAATATGAACGAAAATTATATGACCCATAGATAACACAAGAGAAAATGAATTCTTCAAATGCATTTCAATGAGCCTAAAGTTGAATTCTAACGTACAAGCTTGAACATTTGCTTTGAAAGAAAACATGTAAAAATATGTGGGCTTCAGTTGTAAAGCTGCTTTGAACAGCATTTCAGTCATGTGTCAGCTTAAAGTGAGACAAAATCCCACAGTGGTGCAGATCATGGATGTTTTCCACTTTAGTGAAACTCACGGTGCTGACAAACCGAGGACCATCATCAAAGCGAAACCTGAGATTTGAACCCAAGACCAATGGATCTCCACAAGGTGAAGAAACATAACCCAGCAAATTCCAGTACTTAGATGACTGAAGCAGATCTTGACAGATAACTGTGACAACCAGCAACAGAATCACCTTGACAACCTACTTGTAAATAGTGAAGTCTCCTCTGTACAATGTCTCCCAGCTCCATCGACTCTCGGTCCCTCCATTCCTTCATGCCATCCACGTTACGTAGACCATCAAAGTCATTTCTCAGAGTCCTGAAATAAAACATCTAATTTAAAGAGAAGTTTCAACATTTGTATCTTCTTTACCCAATCTCATTAAAATCAGATCTCAGTTCTCGCTATCGCTAAACAAAGATCTGATGACATCCCATTTCGGGTCAGACTGACCTTGCGTGAATTTTGACCGACCAATGGAAGCACTGACAAGAAGTCAACATTAGCCAATCTGAAGGCAGCTTTCTCGTGCTTTACGGCACTCATTTCAAATTGGCGACTACGCTTCGAAACATATTTTGACAAATTCTCGATTAAAAATTTAAACCTGAACAAAAGAACATTCTGGAATGGCAAATATATGGTCTAGATATGGTGTTAAAGATTTCGAGGTTGCATGATTAGAAATCACATTCCGACTCTCACATTCATGATCTGGTAAGCAACGCTTTGATTGGTCGGATGAAAGGTCGTTCTGACTTGACCCCTAATGGGATGTCCTCAGATCTTTGTCTAGCGGTAGCGAGAACTAAGATCTGATTTTAATGAGATGGCTTCTTTACCACACATATAGTGTCAATATATATTTTCTAGTGGTCTGCGCTTGGTATGACTGCTGAGGAGAAAAAGTTAATTTTACTACTGTCACAGTTTAATGAGCTCCACACACTCCAGATTTTTGTGACTAGTGAATACAGTAGAAATATCACCAACGAACACAATCTCCTTAAAATCCCCTCTATGGCTTTAGTTTTTCACAAGACCTTCAAGCAAGTCTCACTGAAAAAAGTGAGTATGACATTATCACCTTATGTGTATACATAGAAATAACCAGAGACTGAGCATGTGCATGAAGACCGATATCAGTGGATATGATAAATATCATGGACATGTATTGCACTAAGCAGTATATTCATGACATTGAACACCAACAGATGACACTGATACCATACCAAATTAAATGCGAGCAACATATCATAACAAAAGGTTGTAACAAACTTTCCTGACTCTTTAATGTTATCTACAAGGTCGGGTGAGGTGAAATAAGGCTGAAAGTTGTGTCCAACATTATTGCACTTATATAGCAATCTCATTAAAATCAGATCAAGGTTCTCGCCGCCGCTAAACAAAGATCTGAAGACACCCTATTACGGGTCACATCTGAACGACCTTTCGCGAACCTTGACCAACTACTGAAATGACTAACTAGAAGTCATCATCAGCCAATTAGGAGGCAGCTTTCTCGAGCTTCACGGCACTCATTTCAACCTGGCGACTTCCATTTCAGACTACGCTTGAAAAATATGTTTACACAGTTCTTGATTGAGATTTTGAAAACTGAACAAACGAACATTACGGAATGTCTAATATATGGTTGAGATTGTATGGCAGTGCTTCCCACGTACTGTGCAACGCCTCCTACATTCAAATGATGATAATTTTGACGGAATTAGTCGTACGGGTCGTAACTGTCGGTCGGAATACCCCGTCTTAACGTATTCGAGGTTGCATGATCAGAAAACACATTCCGACTGCCACTTTCACGATCTGGTAAGCGATGCTTTGATTGGTCGGATGAAAGGTTGTTCTGATGTGACCCGTAATGGGATGTCCTCAGATCTTTGTTTAGCGATAGCGGGAACTAAGATCTGATTTTAATGAGATTGTTTATATAGCGACTTGCTTGCATGTGTGTGTTTGTGTGGCTGCTTGTACTAATCCCGACAGCTGCCGATTTATAGTGCTAGCTCATACCATGCTGCAGTTTAACATGAATACTGAATACTGTATACTGACTCTGAGCCAACCAGTCCTTGTTTTAGCCCCTTAATGCCAAGTGCCAGACAGGGTAACAACAAGTACCATCTTTTAACGTCTTTTGGTATGATGCGGCTGGGGATCGAACACCAGACCTTCCGCTCTACCCTAGACCATGGAGGGGGTCAAAGTTATGTACATACCTTTGATAGTTAGCACCGTCCCCCAGAATCTGGTCAACCTTGGATGTAATCTCTGTGTTTCCCCCTGCACTGTCCTTGATCTTCTTTAACTGAGACCGCATGAAATACCAAAACTCGACCGCTGTATTTTCTACTTTTCGGAAAGATTTTTCGTGATCTGCAGTTGGTTCATTGGATTTACCTGTAAAGAAACTTGAACTGATGTATCCTGAAATCTATGCTTGAATTCATCCTTCTATTCCTCTCAGTGAACAGATCAGAAGAAACAACTCTGTAGTATATTTGATATGTGCCCAGTAGTGGTGGGATGATACAACGATGCATCACTTCTCGATACAAGTATTGATTAGGGCTGGGACGGGTACCCGGGTCGGGTGGGAACTGAGGAGGACCCGGGTACCCACAGGACTACCCAGACCTGTGGATAGTCACGTTATTATATTGTTTAATGGCAAAAATTATCTAGAACTCTATGGTTACACTATAAGTGATAAATGTTCACAATTCTTTCTGACTTTGCACACATTCCTTCTAACTTTTTATGTTTGCATAATGATAAAACATCAGTCAACTTCAGTGTATGCATGACCAGATCGGTTTATACTTGTGACTAAATTTATTTTGACATGAGTACGGTCAAACTATTCCGAATCGGACATGTTTTACCTATCTCTTGAGACCTACAGTGGGTACCCGGGTAGGGTTGGGTAATAGGGGGTGGGTACCTGGGTAGTAAATTTGGACTCGTCCCAGCCCTAGTATTGATCACCCTCGCACACTAAGTAATAAATATTGATTCCTACCTTCAGTGCTTGCTTTAATAACTGTTACACTAAACACAAATTTGAAGTGAAAATTAGTAGTGAAAACACAAGTATTTCATCCATTGTGCCAAACTTGTCACTGCCAACTGTAATTCGTCAGTATGCCTGGTATTTGGCCATCTTGTCAATGAAATAAATTGTGTGTCTTTGTATCCTGATAGTGTGGATCGTTGCTCATAATATTTATCACTGGATTGTCTGGTCTAGTATTCACAGGCCACTGTCATATAGCTGGAATATTGCTGAGTGCAGTGTTAAAACAACAAACAAACAAACTAGTGATCTGCACATAGAGGTGGTATTACTACAAGTATGACAAGGGTCTACCTGGTGATCCTTGTTGGCTATTGACAAGTCTCTGGATTTCTTGGTTGGCTTTATGCAGTCTCTGCTGGAGACGGGACAGAGTGCCATCCTGGTTACCTCCCCCTTCCTCCTGGATCTGTCTGCAACAGAGATGGACAAAATATGAGGACAAAAAACACAGAGTAGATCTAGCTGTATTGTTCTACAGCAAGTGTGAGAGACTGAGGGCAACTTTAAACACCAACCCAGACCAAGGACCACGATCAGTATTTGAACCTACAACCAGCCAATCCTTGTGGAGATCAAAGGGACACAACTCTGCACAACAGATAGCTAGCCTTATACAGTTAAGTCGTGAGACATTGATACTCTAGAAATAGAGAAATGTCCATGTTTGTTTGTTGTTTAATGCCGCACTCAGCAACTCAGCAATATTCCAGCTATATGACGGCGATATGAAAAAAAAATTGAATCTGGACCAGACAATCCAGTGATTTAGGCAAACATGGGTTGTTTTGGATGCCGATTACAGAGAATGTGATTTCAGCACTTTCACTTGATCATTTAGATACTTTCTACGAATAGTTGAATTTTTTCTCTCTTGGAAATTGACTACATGTATCTTGGAAAATTGATATTGCCAATAAAACCGCAATCATTTGTTTCAGTTTACTTGCCCTTTATGTTGAATGTCTAAAACATTTGAAGGTTAAATGCCTTTACCCACAAATCACAACAAAGACAAGATTATTAATTATAAACCACACTAGAAGGTCGTGTGTCAAACCTCATGTCGAAACGTTATCACAATTTCATGAGAGTAACAAAAACATTTAATGTTTAAAAGCATTTACTCACATATCATCATAATCAATGATAATATGGACAAAACTATAACTCATTGCCTGCCCACACTACAAGGTCACATGTCAAGCCTCATGTCGAAACGTCACAATTTCACGAGAGTGAATGTTCACTTAACAGCTGAAACACTGATAATAGCACTACTCTACAGTCAAAATCTAACTGCGTCAGTTTAATCCCCGTGAAGATCCGGGATAGAATAGATCCTCAGCAACCCATGCTTTCCATAAGAGGCATCTAACGGGATCAGGTGGTCAGGCTTGCTGACTTGTTTTATTCATGTCATCATATCCCAATCGGGTAGATCGATGCGCATGATGTCAATCACTGGAGTTATTTACAGATCTCCATCACATAGCTGGAATACTGGCGAGGGCGGTTTTAAACAACAAATAAACAAAACGCATTACAAGTGTAGTTAAAAAAGGGGGCAGTGACAGATATGAGGGGATACAATATCAAATACATTTTATTGCCACTCCAGGGTCTTTGATCGCATCTGATATGTCTTAGGTAGCAGTATACAACTGTCTTCACATTCTTCACATTGCTATCTGACACTGTATCACCAACACAATACATAACCTTTTAGTAGCAAATACCGCATTCGACATAATAAGCGCCCAGGGCGCTCTCAAAATTAGAAATAGGGGGCTCTTATTAGAATATATATTTTTGAGTTCAAAGAGCGTAAATTTCGTGGTTTATGCTGAAATGTTTATAAACGACAGATATATTTTTCCAGAATTTAATTGCCCATAATTAAGGGTGCATATAACAAACGTATTATGCACGAATAAATAGCCTTGTGTACATTTATCAATCGGAAGGGGTGCTAATTGGGATTGTTCACTAGCCAGTATATTAACAAATATCGCCGTGGGCGCTTATTAGAGCGGGGCGCTTATTACGTCGAATACGGTACATGGATATTAAATGTAGTGTGGCTGACACTAGGGTATTGAATGGTGTCTGTTTTAAGTGATGTGTTTGATGCCATTTAATTAAACCATAAAGAAACACTTCAGGATGTCTGGTATGTTTTTGCGTTCATTGTGCAATGCTAACTGTCATCAAGGAGGTGCATTGTGACCTATTATAAGTCTATCTATTGCTGAGATGAAGTGCTGCAGTTGGGAAGCACAGACTATACGTCACATCATCAAAGTCACAGTAGTAAAGACTGCCTCCATGGTCTAGTGGTAGAGCGTCCAAACAGAGAGCTGAAAGTCCAGGGTTCAATCCCCGGCCGTGCCATACCAAAGGACGTTAAAAGATGGTACTTGTTGTTACCCTGACTGGCGCTCGGCATTAAGGGGTTAAAACAAGGACATGTCGGCTCGGAGTCAGTATACTGTGTCTGAGTGGGGTATTCATGTTAAACTATTGCATGGTATCTCAGTGAGCTAGCACTATAAATCAGCATCAGTTCAGACTAGTACAAGCAGCCACACAAACACACACGCGCTTCCATGCACGTCGCTATATAAGTGCAATAATCTTGGACGCGATGTAAACCCAATTTCACCTCACCACCACAGTTTACACTGCTCCAAATGTTTTTCAGTTATTTGACAACATTCCAGAGTTTGATGCAGGTTGTTTGTTTATTTACAATTATTTCCAAGGTTGAGCTTGTTTGTTTTGTTGTTTAATGCCACACTCAGTAATATCCCAGCTGTTTGACAGTAGTCTGTAAATAATCGAGTATGGACCAAACAATCAAGTGACCGACACCATGAGCATCGATCCGCGCAATTGGGATACGATGACATGCATCAACCAAATCACCAAGCCTGACCACCCGATCCTGCTAGTCACCTCTTACAAGAAGCATGGATTGAGGAAGATCAATTTTAACTTGGATCTTCAAGTGTCTCCAAGGATGTGTATTGCCTACGGTGCAAGCGTGTCGCTATGACTCATTGTGACATCATTGTCACTGCAACCAAGAAATTGAAAGAAATATGTAAATGTGGACACATTTAATCATTTAATGAAAACAGTGCACGCTAACCTAGACATTATTATGTTTTTCCTTTAGATGAACATCCATGTGGATCTTCTATATTTCATAAAATTTGATTTCTTTTTATTTTAATTTTAAGTATGTTTCCCTATATACCATATATAACTGTATACCATATACCATACTATATACCATATATACCTGTATATAGGACTCTGGGTTTCTTTGTGTTTCTTAGAAAACAACACTTAATATAACACTTTGAATGATATTGAATGAATGAACTAAGACAAAAGAAACAAAGTTTCATTTTGCAGCCATGAAGAAAATATAAGTCACATATTTTTCCTTCATATCGGAAAGACAGACAACACCACATACCATCATCTCCAGAGTCTTATTGATTGATCCAACTACTGATGCACTGCAACCCTTCAAACACCCCTATTTCGGGTCCGAAAAATTCATCTTATACACGGCGATATTCAGTACATACACCAGCCAAAGCAGTTTAGAAGATCAAGATACTCGTCATGCAAATAATGCAATAATGATACAACAACTTCAAAAGTATTTTCACCTACTGAAACAGACTTGCAACAGTTAAAAATGCTACCAGTACTTGCCAGCCCCCAAATTATGGTCCACCTAGTTATGAAACTGGTTTCCAATGAGAGAAGTCAAAGCTGAATGCTTTCCAACTGCAACAGAGGTTAGTTGGGTGTTAATCAATAAAACACTCCCAACCTTTTGTACATCAACACTAACTGTACAAATGTCCCCACCACTGAGTATTCTATTCACAAAATACCTCTGAATGGCTCTTACACCACATACATTGATTATCGAATTACAAACTGATCAAATGGCAGACTCTCTATCGGTGTAATTGTAAGGTTTATTTATGATCAATAATTCATAACAAGCAAATGATACAGTTCGTCCATATTAGCTTCCTCTTCAATTCATGGCCTCTGACTAGAGCAGGCAATTTCCTTTGAATAATGCATGATTTCAAAACAACACCAATGACTGGATACAAAAGCCATGACTTGAACAATGCACTCTGCAAGGCTCTCTCCCGTATTGCCATCCCAGTGCTAGTACTCTCACTGTTCGACTAAGTACTTAGCGCTAAGTTTACCTCACGTAACAGACCCGAGATCCCCACACAAAACAATCTTAGGGTAACACAATGACAGTTATTGTTGTAAGCTGAGACTGTTTAGAGCAAGAGTCGACAGGTTAATTGCTGCTCATATTGAAACAGCTTGTAGATCAATTTACAGACTGTAATGACTACAATCTACCCATAAACATCGGCAATACAGCCTCCAGAAACACAGGACAGTACAACAGTTCCACTGGGAGGACGACATCTCAGCACATTGGTCATTAGGTCCTGATGTGAGTAAACCATCATTTCAGCTTGTGAGAAGTAGATTACAGTTTTATAGGCTAAACACTGCCAATCTATCAGGCGATACCATAATTATATCCCCTTAACAAACCCCTCATGTAAATGGTCTTAAACCGTTTTGATCATACTACAGGGAAAAGACTTGTGCCCACAATGTAATGTGAGTGATCATCCACTCTAAATCATAGAGTATCACATACAGATATGCTATGAAGAAAGGATTGACTTTCAATGCACTGAAACAATGAAATGTTTGAAATCCATAAGTCAACCTTGTCTTCATTGATACTACAGCTCCTAAATGCTACTTATAATGATGTCATATAGCCGCTAGTTTAAAGGTTGTCTGTTTATGTCAAATCATCCAACATTCAGCATTGTCTATCAAACACAAGAGAAACATTTTTTCACAGGGCTGCCTTTACTTGTGGCAAGAGTGAATGTGAGTAGCGCTACAGTTTTCTTTAAACATGACGTCAATACAGCTTAAACTGGAGGCCTGATGTAATAACCGTAGAAGGAAACCATCGATGGAACGCCGCAGCACGTTACAAATTGAGGAACATTTGTAAGTGCACATGTTTTTATCCATTAGCAGAAAGTATGCACAATAACATATGGAAATAATGGTGTATTTCTAAAAATGAACATTTTATCCACATGGTTTAATACTCTTAAAGAAGAGCAAATGACATTGTGATTGTATGTTACGGTGTCTTAATAAGGTTAATGACAAAGATGACTCTAAATATAAAGATATGAAAAATGTTTAGATTTTACAAGGAATACATGGTAGAGGAAAAATAAGATGGACTGCAGTGTATCTGGCCATTTTGAATACAAGTCCAAATTTTTTAAAACTTTGAAATATTTTTAAGAAACTTATCTGACATGTACACATGATTTGCTCTTTCTTACTCCTACAAGTACGGATCTCTTGATATGTTCAATTACATAATTATGTCTAAAATGAGAGGAAAGGGCCAATTATCTACCTTGTAGAGTGAGTGTGAGTGAGTATGGTTTTACGCCGCTTTTAGCAATATTCCAGCAATATCACAGCAGGGGACACACGAAAGGGGCTTCACACATTGTACCCATGTTGGGAATCGAACCCAGGTCTTCGGTGTGACGAGCGAACACTTTATCCACTAGGCTACCTGACCACCTCCTACCTAAAATCTAACAGAAAATCTCAATATGAGCATGTCATTTTTCACCATGTTTGTTTGCTTACTACATTTGTACGTCATTCCATTTGTAACAAATATGACCAAGGAATGGCCACAATTAACTTGCTCAAAATGGCTGGTGAGGTGTCCATGAAGAAATTCACATTCAAGCATATTCAAAGGGCAAAGGGCAAATCAGGGTAAAAATTTAAGATATTGAGAGAAACATATGTACGTGTTAAAACCCACTACCGGTACATGTATATATATACCAAATTTCACAACATTTTGAATAAAAGAGGCTGAGTAATGGTCCAAGGTCAAGTCAAGGTAAAAATGTAAGATATTATTGTGAAAAACGTAACATACGTGTTGAGACCAACTAAATAGATACCACATTTCACTACATTTTGAACTGAAGAAGCTGAGTAATGGTCAAATGAAGCTTCACCTTTCAGTGTGGTCATACTGCAAGGTCAAATTGAGGTCAAAATTTCAAATATCGCAAAAAGCAGAAGATATATTTTGAGTCCTACTACTAACTCACATGTAGCATATTTTGTTCCAATTTAAAAAGGAAAATGGCTGAGTAATAGCCATACATAGGTTTATCAATATGGCTGCCAAGGCAACCATATTGAGAATTTGATTGGAATCTTTTGAAATCTGGATGTCATCATTGGTGGGAACACGCATGGGAAGTTTTAGCTTCATAGGTCCAGTGGTTTCTGAGGAGAAGATGTTTTCCATACATAAAAGTAGAGACATGGTGCAAATTGGATGCCTGACACACACGCACGACATGAACTCATTGACTTTTCATCTGGTGAGCAAAAAGTGGAATCAGCAATTTTGACACATTTTAGTTTTACCTCTACATTAAGTGTTGTACAAGTGTGGAAAAGATAAATCTAATTCTTAATCACATCTGATAACCTTCAGAACATTTTCTAAAAGTTTTTGCTTTTTTCTGAAATTATTCAGATCATGTGGACAAAAAGCACCCCGGTCATATCTATCTTGAAACATCAGCTGAGAAAATAATTAAACAAGAACACAAAAATACTATTTGTGAACCAGTATTCACACATAGATATACATACACTATGTATTTCAGTGTACCTGTCATATGCTGCCACTATTAATGTACCACTTCCTGACAAAATCCATGTGCCATTCATAATGTATATGGGATGACATGCATCACAATGAAAACTATGTTGAGAACATGTAGTATTATTACAAACTTTCTTTAAATGCCATACTGAGATGAATAAATGAACTTCTGCCTCATGAAAGTCATCAGGAAGGAATTTATAACATCTAGCCATTTAAATATGAAAGGTCTCTTTTTGGTAAAGGAAAAGTAACTACCATGCATTTACTTAAAGATACTGGAAATAATTGAATATTTGTTATACCTCTACATCCTAATATCAAGAAATACACAGAAATCACGTTTGTCCTAATTGTTAGGGTTAGCCTAGTGGTTAAAGTGTTAGCCTGTCACAACAAATATGTGTTGGATTTCCATGGATGCAATGTGTACGAAGCCCTTTTAGATGACCTTGTTGTATTAATGCTATAATATTACAACATGTAAAAACATACTAACCCTCTCTTACTTGGGGATAAGATAGCTGGTTGGTACATCATTTGCTGTTCATACTAAAGAACCATGTTCGATTCAACATGTGAAGCCTATTCCTTGTGACCCACATGGTGTTGCTAAAAGGTGTCAAATGCTATCAACCCAACCACTCACTCACCTATCCATCCACCCACTCACTCACTCACTAACTCACTCACATATGCTTTTACTCACCCACTCACTTATATATGCTTTTACTCACTCAATCACCAACACACTCATTCACTCACACACTCCCTCGCACATTTCCTCTTTTCACTCACTCACTCAGGCACCCACCAACAGAAAACCCAACTCACTCATTCAGCCTTGCACCACCCTACCACTCACCTACTCACTCCCTCGCACACAAATCCACCCAACCAAATTCTTACTCACTGATCCACCTCCCATTCAACAATACACCACCTACTCACTGATCAACCACCCACTCACCCATCCACCATCCACTCACTGATCCACTCACTCTCTAGTACTTACTTTAAGTCAGCTGCTAACTGCTGTAGCTCCAAGTTCTGGGCCTTGACCTTGTCGAGTTCATCTAGAGCTCTCCTGAGCTGCTGCTCCGCCCGCTGGTTGATCTCCCCGCCCTGCATCAGGGAGTTGCTCATGTAGATCATGATGACCAGCCAGAAGGCCAGGAGGCCACCTATCACCTTCCAGCTCTTCAGCATCTCTCACATAGCCCTGCAACACAATGGACATTGTATCAGTATTGGTCCGTGGTTACATGTCTCAGGTACAGACACAACACTGATGGTTGCATCTCACATAGCCCTGCAACACAATGGACATTGTATCAGTTTTGGTCCATGGTTACATGTCTCGGGTACAGACACAACACTGATGGTTGCATCTCACATAGCCCTGCAACACAATGGACATTGTATCAGTTTTGGTCCGTGGTTACATGTCTTGGTTACAGACACAACACTGATGGTTGCATCTCACATAGCCCTGCAACACAATGGACATTGTATCAGTTTTGGTCCATGGTTACATGTCTCGGGTACAGACACAACACTGATGGTTGCATCTCACATAGCCCTGCAACACAATGGACATTGTATCAGTATTGGTCCGTGGTTACTTTTCTCGGGTACAGACACAACACTGACGGTTACATATCACATAGCCCTTCAACATTAAGGATGGTATTGGTCCGCAGTTACATGTCTACAGTGCAACACTCAGTCTCGCTACAACATACATAACATAAGAGAAGTGCCTGTGACAGTGAAACATCTTGCACTCTGCAACATCGTAGGGCATTGGTGCCTATTCTTTCCCTATCTCCTCATGGAAGACTTTTATAGAACTTCATACCAAGTCCTGGTCTAAGTCGAACAGGTATCTGTAATTACTGTACAGCCTGCTGACTGAATGTATATTGTCCACCACTCAAGGAGTGGTCAATATCAGTCCCAAGATGAATTATAAACATCCACACCACACCCTTGAACACATCAGAGAAGAGATCAATGCAGCACTCCTTATCAATAAACTGATTTAGTCAGGAAGTGAATGGGGCGTTGTGTGCTATTTCCTCGCTTCCCTAAATGAAAGCGATTTTCCTTTCCAGATAGACTCCCATGCCCATGGGTTTCACTAAGTGTTAAATGTCTAAATCTTCCATCTTTTAAGGCATTCCTACAACATTAACCTGACACAATGACATAACTGAAATACTTCTAAAATTACTCACTCACTTCAACTCTCGAAGTACCAGTATCTCCATTGTGGACATTTAATCCCCATTAATGTTACCTGTTTGACAAAGATGGGTTACCGAGGATATTTTTCTGCTCTGGAATACCAGCCCTGTTCAACTAAATGAAGAAAGCACTCTGGCCATGACTGTGATAAGGTATGGAAGTTACAACAATCTTATGGCTAAGATCATTTTGTGGAGAGCTGATGAAGAGACCATCCTTGAGATAACGCACTGGTCTGTAGACATCCATTTCATCTGGAGATTAACGACTCCTTCCCTACAGATGTCCTTCAATCAATACACATGTAATACTCACCATATCTTAAAGCTGGCAAATATCTTACCACTATTCACAAAAATATTCTCATCAGAATGTACCGGTAGATGTTCATCTACTCACATTGACTCAAATACCAACTTCTAATGCATTCTCTAAAAGCCTCAATCATGACTACACACATACCATGTCTCAATCATGACTACACACATACCATGCCTCAACCATGCCTCAAGACCCGCAGAATAGGTCTTCAGCAACCCTTGCTTGCTGTAATAGGCAACTCTGCTTGTCATTAGAGGCGACTAACGGGATCAGGTGGTCAGACTTGTGACTTGGTTGATGCATGTTATCGTATCCCGATTGCGTGGATCGATGCTCATGATGTCAATCACTTGATTGTCTTGTCCAGGCTCAATTATTTACAGACCACCATCATATAGGTGGAATATTTCTGAGTGCGGCGTTAAACAACAAACCAACCAACTCAATCATGACTAAACACATACCATGCCCCAATCATGACTACACACATACCATGTCGGTATGTACTGATCAAAACATCGACACATTGTCTCCTCCTGATGATAGAATTACTGCTCTAAAGTGTGTCTCACAAACCGGCATACATTCTTAAAGAGCAGCCTGTTTGAAACGGAAAACCTTTTACTTGTACTGATGCAATTCCATTGTGTTCTTCCTGATATTAGATGGAGTGGCTCAATCAGTGAATGGGATTTAATGCATTAAGCAGCTCTATCTCAGCTGTACAGCAGTAACCTGAAAGAAACGCTGGGTCTGGACAGAGAACAACCCATGAGCATCAGTCAGCAGACACAGCCAAGGAGGAATCCCAGACATCTCAATCTGTGGTCAGCTTCTGACCCACATCCACACCTACCAAATCCAAGTTTTTATGATTACACATGGCGACAGAATCTGACTCAGACATGGTTCTGCAATAATGTCATCAATCAATCTACATTTGAATGTCAGCAATCAAGACTTTTTCCGATTGACTAAGCTACAATGTATCCTTATATCAAATCCATTCAGTAATCATCATGTTGGTTTGTTGTTGTGGTTTGCCCCTATCACCAATACAACAGCTACATAATAGTGGCGTGGAACAATCCACACCGTCAGAGTAATATGACATGTAATCAACCAAAAAGCCTGACCACCCAATCCATTGAGTCACCGCTTGTGACCAGTAGCAGGGGACCTATTCTAACCTGGAATCACCGCAGAAGATATAATTTGAAAAGAGGGGCCTCATTGTTATGAAATGTCAGTAATAAGTTACCATATTCACTGTAATGGGTACTTAGAAAATTTACAAAGGGTGAGTGTTCATTAAAACAGTACACAATACGTCAAATATTGAGCAACCATCAGTCTCGCTACAACATATACATCATAAGAGAAGGGCTTGTGACAGTCAAACATCTAGCACTTTGCCACATCATGGGCAGACTTTTACAGAACTTTATACAGAGTCCTGGTCCTGGTCACACAATATGGTGAATACAGTATGTATCATACATCAATACAGTTGAGTGAATAGTTTGTTTTACACCCAAGTTAGCAAACTAGATATATCATTGTGCCCTGAAGATAATCAACTCTGGGCCAGGCAACTTGTGAATGGTAGCAGGACCAAAAAGCCATGTCACTGGGGACGATGACACAACCAGCATCAGATAATGGGCACTTCATCTGCCCTTGAATCCCAGTGGGACTTTCACAAGGTTACCATAGTGATATTAAAATATGAATCACAACGTGGATCGCATTACTTTGTTACATGATATGATAATTGTATTGGTACGTCATGTATAGATACAAAACAATACAAACATTTATACTGAACAATAAATGTTATGGATCAATATTTTGGAAGAATATTTTTATGACGTGTGCTCTGTCTTCACTACAAATTATCCCCAAAAATATTCATGATCCCTAACTTTTTTGTTCAGTTTATATAAGGGTGTACTGCAAAAAGGTAGGAACAAAAACTGTAAAACACTATTCTCTGCTTGTACAGCCACTGTTTCATCCAGTACTCAATTCTGCAAAACATTTTTTAGTGATGCTACTATTAATTTTTTTAAAGATGTGAAAAGCAGTGATAAACCCAACCCACTCACTCACTTTAGATAGGAAAAAAAGTCACATGTTGTGTTTCAAATGGTCACCGTTCCATCCAGAAATGTATAGTATTGCAATAAAATGTACCATGGCAGCCCAAATAAGATCCCATCTAAAATCAACGAAGCCACTGGTCCTGATGGCACAAATACAGGTTTAATCTTTACAAACGGCTTCATCTGCTTTTTTAACTTCTGGTTGCCGCATCACAACTTTAGGACAAGCAAAAACAGACAACTACATGATAAACACTGCAGCAAATTGAGAGATGTCCCCCTCAATCCATCAATTACTTGTGCTGAGTGGTGTGGGGTCACCTTCAGACATGTCCAGAAACATCTCGGCTGCCTCGACTTGACCTGGGTCAGCCATCTTGCTTCAGTAATGGAAGACATGACTTCCCATGACACAGGGGCCGGGGAGAACATGTGCCTGTCACCTTCGCTTTGTACTTAATGAATAAAGGTGTCAGACCAATACAAAATACTGACAGAACCTTTCTATTGCTTTACCATATTAGGGAAGGAATTTCACTAATGCTAGACCATTACGTCTGCTTCCGTAAATGTCCGGCAAGCCAAACACATGGAAAATGACTCATGACAGTGATTTTGAAGAAAAATATGCCAAAATGAAAAGTCTTTTCTACTTATTCTTATATTAATGGTTTAATAACTAAAAAAACAAAAAAAACTAACGTTACAATCAACATTTTGAAAACAATATCCTGATATCTTAAATTGTACCTGGACTTTCCCCATATGTTCTTGTCCTACAATCCTTCCTGAACATATTCATGGAAAAACAGCCCTGAGGAATGCCATCATTTAATACTGAAATGGACATGCATGGTGTCTGTTATAATACAACACTAAGTCGTGTGATCAATACACAAGCATTTTTCTAATAACACACTGAATTAACATATGGACCTTTGTAAAACATTTCTTCATTCACAAAAAAAGACAATTCATGAATATTTCATGAGTGAGGACTTACTGCTTGAGCAAAGTCAACAGTTGTATTTATACCTGTTTGATATACTAATTACTTAGACCAGAGTGTGTTCACAATGACATCTCTCTTTCATCTTTGTCAACTCAACAATATGGCTCCTTGTTCAGACAAGCTTTTTTCATTAAGCTCTACATCTAATATATAATGGTATGCCTTTGATAAAAATGAGCAGATTCCATGCTCAGATTAAATTATTCATAAATTATTGATGTTTTGGATGACAAATGAATCTCATTACCTTATATCTTAGTGAATACCTACAAGCAACCATATTTACCAAAAGATTAATAGAACAGGGCTTACATTGTGATACACACATGGTTCAGATTAGGGGTTTTGATGTATTGTTCTATTGATGCATTGCAAATTTACAACTGCCAATATAATATAGATAAAACTACTGACTATTGATTCATATTTTTATTCATTATCAACTTTCCAAAAGGATTATTTATGAAATCTTAATAACATTTCTCAACATTTCTCTTAGCCCATGTAAAAAAAGCTGCAATGGAAATTCTGAAA